TTCTTATGTGAGCTACGCAACAACTGAAAAGTTTACAACATAATCCAAAACTTCCACAAAGGAATAAAAGAGTAAAAAGCTGGATCGCACACAAACTCGAGTGTGCGTGCGTGTGTGTGTGTGTGTGTGTGTGTGTGTGTGTGTGCGTGGGCGCCACCAGCTTCCACTTGAGATGCCGTGCGTCCCTTAGTTTTATGTTGCAAGTCCTTTTTTTCTTTGTCGTAGGCTTGGGGCAGCCATGACGAATGAGTTCTGGGCAACTTTTTATGTCGAAATCAAAAATTGCAGCCAAGCTCGCACTTTGAGGCAACTTCAAAAGAGGAAGGGGGAAGGGGGGAGGGGGTGGGGAAGGGGGGTGTGGCCGTCAGCATCAAAACATGTCAATTTACAGGCGAATGCATCCACGCGAATCGTAGCCTTTGACGGCGCCGCTGAAAAGCCAAAGATTTTCATCCAATTTGCAAAAGTGGCGCGTCGCGTTACGCATACGCCACGTGCGTCAGCGTCGACAGCGACATTTGCCCCCCATTACCCCTACCCCATAACCCCGCCCCCTCCTCCCTTTCCCTACCATTGCCCGTACACGTTTTTTTTTTGCCTCTTGCTTGACTTGACTCGCTGCGACATGTGAGCTCTGAGCTAGGGGCAATGCGGCCAGGTGGGCAGGTGAGTGGGGCCAGGGAGGGGTGGTGGTTGATGGGGCGCAATGCGTCTGGGACTGGAGCACGTGCCCGCTGGCAAGTCAAACATTACAACATTACGCGCTTTCCAATTCACCTGTGAAAATCATTTGCTCTTTTTTTTTTGTGTTTTGTTTTGCTTCTCTCGTCGCAATGGGTGGATTTTTATTTTTATTATTTCGCAATACCCTGGTCCTAAGCCACTTAAAAGTGTTGTTGTATCAAATGTGAGGTCATTATGAAGCTACAATAATTTAATTGCCACATTATATCTGTTTGAAATATATCCTACAAACTATTATATTTTTATATAAACAAATTTCCCAACTAGTTTAAGGGTTTTTAGTTAAAAATTTCCCTTTATTTCACACTTGTTCCCATTGTTTGTTAACTGTCACACTATATCATTGCCTACTTTTGTGCTGAGCCAGAAAACCAAAGAATATATCTTTCGCAGCATACTTTCGGGCTGACATTAACGTGGCGAAAGGAATTGACATATTACAAATAATTGCATACTTTTGGGCTGCGCATGAGATTCTTTATGCATACTTTTTGCTGCCTACTTTTGTGCTGGACAACTAATGTGCTACAAATAGTTGACCCCAACTTGGCCAAATCCTGGCAGATTTACAAAGCACATAATGCGTTATTTTAACAAGGATAAACATTATAGATTGTGACTGCAATCACCAAGAGTCAGTAGCATATGGAAGAGCCAAGAATTTCGCCTAGCTAAGCTTGATTAATGAAGCTGCAATTAAATACAGGGTATCCCTTGGGTATATATAGCACACACAAGCACAGCCGCCACCACGCAATGCGTTCTTGTTTTCTCCTCTTTTGTTGTTTTGGCTTCATTTTCGTATGTCGAATTTGCCTTGTCAAACGTGGAAGCAAACGTGACAAGCATTAGCTATAGAGAGGTTGCCTACACAAATGCCAGCATGTCTTCATACAGGGTAGCGCGTCGGTAGGGGCGGTAGGGGGGCGGGGTAGGGGGGCGGGGTAGGGTAGGAGTGTGGCGCCAACAACGTGCGTAGTTTGGCATATCAGTTCGTTGCCAATTTGGAAAATCGTCGTCGAAAAGAGCAAGGGGAAAACTTTATGTGAATTTGAAGGGGTTGACAACTAATGTCCGTGTATACATATATATAAATATTCATATGAATATATATGAATATATGTATATAATATGTATATATTTTGTGTCAAAACAAAACTTTTGCGTGTCTATCTATCGGCAGCAACGAAAAGCCACGCAAAGTGTGTTTCCATGTTGAGCTCGAGACTGACTTTTCCATAGAAGCCGCACATATGCCAGAGTCAGATATTGTAGAAATAGTTGTTGTTCTGGTAGTTGTTGGTGTTGTTGTTGCTGAGGGATGCCCCGAGCAATATGCAAATTGAAAATAGGGAAATGGGGAATACGCAATCGAAATTAAATGACTTTTGCTTATTGTGCAATCAAGAATTACTACAAAATAAACTACAATTGAGTCGCATTTACATTTCATTGAATAAATTGCAGCACGCACACACACACACACGCACACACACACACACGCACACACACACACGCAGACACACACGCACACTTGAGCACTCGAATACTGTAAATAAATGCCATAACATTTGTGCACAAAATTTCGCCCCCGCCTTTGCGCTTGAGAGAGTTGCGCCCATTTCCATTACGAAAAGTTCCCGACTGAGGAAATCACATAAAAATACACACACACACACAACATACACGTGTGTGTGTGTGTGTGTGCGACTTGCAGACAATTCGAAACAAAACAAAAAAACGAAACGAAACATTTGCGACTTTACGTAAATTGTTTTTTCCAAATTTTCAAATTTTGTGCAGCAAATGAATTCTTGTCCCTTCCCCCTCGCCCCTCCCCCCTCGCCCCCTTCTGCTACCCCTTTTCGTCGCAATTTGTTGTGGCAATTGAGTCAACTTATTATTAGCATTATCACCTGTCGATGCCATCACCTGGCCAGAAATTGCCAAGCGGCTGTCGCCTCGTTCCTCTGTTGGGCACAATAAAACCAAATAAAAAATGCAAATTACTTTCGACGCATTCAAGCGAAAATGGCGTTGAAATTGAAAACCCAAAATGGCTACGACTAGCGCGTAGCGCCATGAATACAGATAACTCACACACATCTATCTAAATATCCAATGGCTGTGCGTAGCCACAGGTAAACTTGGCTAAGACGAACGCACTTAAATGTGAGAAACCTGACAGTATGGTAAAAAAAAAGCCGCTAAATATTCGCATTATGTAGTTTCTAGTATTTTAATACATAAATACCACGATTGTTATCGATAACTGTAGTCAAGTATCATCTCTAGCATTATCAGATTACAAATTATGGAAAAATATATGACGAACGCACTTAAATGCAAGAAGCTGGGCAAACACAAATTTAATTGAGAGGTTGCTTTAAATAAGCGTTAAATATTTCATTTATTATCGATAACTTATGTCGAGTGTCATCTCTAGCCTCAATGTGCGAAGCTTTCGCAAACACAACTTTCATCGATTGCTTGCCTTAAATAAGCGTTAAATTTTTGCTTTGTTATCGATAACTTTTGTCCAAGTATGATCTCTAGCTTTATCAGGTTTTAAATTATGGGCAAATATAGCCACAGGTTAACTTGGCTATAACTTAAATGCAAGAAGCTTGGCAAGCACAAATGCTATCGAATGCCTTCTTTAAATAAGCGATAAATGTTTGCTTGGTTATCGATAACGTGTATCGAGTATCATCTCTAGCTTTATCAGCATGAAAATGATGGGAAAATATGTATATATGCTTGTCTATGCCGTCTCATTGTACCACATATCCAGTGATAGTTCCTTTGTTATCGATAACTTTTATCAAGTATCATCTCTAGCTTTATCAGATTGAAAATGATGGGAAAATATACATACATATATCCAGGGTGTTCGTCTTTATGCCGTCTCACTGTACCACATATCCAGTGATAGTTCCTTTGTTATCGATAACTTGTATCGAGTATCATCTCTAGATGTATCAGCATGAAAATGAAATATGTGTACATCAGTCTGTCTGTCAAGCGCGTTCGTCTTTATGCCGTCTCACTGTACCACATTTCCTGCGTATTGTGCCCACGCAGTAGCAAAGTCAATTCTGCATGTCCAAGTCGGTCTGAAACTTTCCCAAAACCTTCGTTTACACGTTTTTGAGTGGTACACTCAGTACTTTCCATCTTTCCTCTTCTTCTTTTTTTCTTTTTGAAATTGCAGCGCTCGCAACTTTGGAGGCTCATAAAATATGTACGCAGGAGCCAGGACTGCCACGAACTGTGCTCCTAGATGGTTAACGATTTGGCTGCGCCGAAAAAGGGGCAAAAGGTAGCGTAAATTGCTGAAATATGCATGCGGCGGGGGGGTGGGGGGCAGGATTGTGGAGCACGGGGGTAGCGCGGGGTACGACGGGCAATGGCCATTGCCATTCGCATTATCAAGGCGTTGGCATGTCCAGGGCCGGGCTATGCCGTAGAAAACTACGTGTCAGGCATGCCAAAGTTATCAAAAAAAATAGCCTCCACTTCAGCTCGGATCTGTTCATTGGTCAATGGACATTTGGTTCATGGGTTTTGTGGTTTTTGAAATTGCACGCATTTGATTGCGTTATTGAAATTGACTGTGGCTTCATTACGTTAATGCTCGAGCGGCATCAAAGGTGGGCCTGGGCCTGGGTCTGGGTCTGGGCCTGGGCCAGGTCGCTCCCCTCGTATTAAGGAATTCAATTATAAATGCCGCCCATCCGAATTCTCAGCTGTTTAGCCGGCCTATGAATATAAATCTGCCTGCTACCTGTGGCCCACACAATTTAGTTTAATTGCCGTGTGGGGCTTGGGGCCCAAGAGTCTAGTTGCCCGGGATTTGCGATTAGTGGCGCCTGTTGATAAATGTGCACCTTATGCCGTCTATTGGCTGTTTACCTTTTGGACATGAGCGCCCCCCTGGGCATAAATCTGCTGGGTTGCCTTTAATTAACGACTGTTGCTTAAGTGCTTTTTAATCCATTTAAGCTCAAAAAAGAATATCTAGGTATAAATTTAAAAAGTAACGGTTAATTTTGCATATTGTCACGCAAATCGATAACGTTAGCGGGTTGAGGATATTTATAACCGTTTCGTGTGACAGCCATCGATAGCGATCTGCAGCTCAAAGTGACAAAGTGGCAACGCTATGAAAACAGCGCATTATCGATATTTCTTAACCGTTTCGCAGCGCAACAGCTGTTTATGCTAATTAGACTATCGCAGAACTTTGTGCTCAGCAGCTAAAGTTAGTTTGATTGTTGACTGATAAGACGAAAAGCAGAGTAAATAATTAATTATTTATAGCCAGATATATATAGCTAATTAGCACTTATTTCGTTATCTTCTAATTAACAATAGCAACGAAAATGGCCTTCAGACGCTGCCACCTGAATCCGAAGAAGACGCTCTTCCTGCTCTGCGATATACAAGAGAAATTCCGACCCAGCATGCCGCTCTTCGACAATATGGTCAAAAATGTGGACAAGCTGGCAAGTGAACTTTGTAGCTAATTAGCTTATCTAAAGAGCAAATAGATTAAACCCAGTTTTCTTTGCAGACGAAGGCGGGCAAGGCGCTGGAGGTGCCGCTGATTGTGACCGAGCATTATCCCGAGAAGCTGGGCAAAACTGTCGCCGAGCTGGATGTGTCGCATGCCAAGGTTGTTATGGGCAAAACCCTATTTAGCATGATGACCCCCCAGGTGAAGAGCGTCATCAAGGACCTCTTCGGCGAGAAGCCACAGGACGTGGTGCTCTATGGACTGGAGGTGAGCCGGACCAGAAAATGTTCATTATTGTCTACTAAATCTCCATCTTATCTTTTCTAGTCGCACATTTGTGTCGAGCAGACGGCGATTGATCTGCGTGAACAGGACATTAATGTCTACATTGTGGCCGATTGTTGCTGCTCTCGCCTCAAGCAGGATCGCGATTTGGCCCTGGAACGCTTGCGGCAGGCGGGCTGCGTGATAACCACCAGCGAGAGCGTCATCTTCGATCTGGTGCGCGATAAAAACAATCCCAAATTCGATGTGGTGCGCAGGCTGGTGAATCCGCCCTCGGTGGACATGGAGCTGGCGCGCAACTCCTCCAAGTTGTAGACCAGCTGTTGTTATTTACATGTTTAGCACTTCGCATTTAAAGTAAAAGGACATGATGAGCAAGGTATTGGTCTTCATCGAGCTGGGCAGGATCGGCATAAGCTCTAGACTCCTTCGAGGTCTTTTGGCATTCCATTAAGTTGTCGCTTCCGTAACATGCTCCGAATGGCGTCGAACAATGGGCGAACAATGGACTCGACGCATTCAAATATAACATTAACAACGGGCTCAATGGCCATCCCTTCCGGCTGCTGCCCCTTCCCTCCCCCAGCCCAATATGACAATGCGTATTTTATGGACTTGCCTCGTTGGAGCGTGGGCGGGGCAACAAGACTTTACACCAAAGAGTTGGGCGCACGCACGGCTCAAGCCCTTCCGCCCACTTTGCATAGAAATTTGTGGAAAATCTTGCATCGTAAAGTTTTATTTTTATGTCCAACTGATGGAGACGCATCCAATTGCAATTGAAATGGCATCAAGGGGATGTCGGCAAGGGACTGCCTTCCTAATGTCTGAGATGTCGGTGTGGCTGTGGGTGTGGGCGTGGGCGTGGCTTCGCCTCCTCCTTGGGCGGATGCGCCTCAATGTAGGCGAGCGCCTTGAGTATGGCCTCGGGCGTGGGCGGCGGCGTTGGCAGCGAATCGCCCTGCGGATGATACCCATTCTCATCGGCCGTGTAGGACACCTGAACGGGCACGCCCTCCTTTGACACAAAGTGAAACTGGCCATGCACATTGTTGTGGGCATCGCCCGCCTCCTCGGCGCCAATGCCGTTGGTTATGTCATAGCTGTACGCAAAGTTGCCGTGGCCGTCTTCCTTTTTGTGCTCCTGCGCCTTGGCGTGTGCGTCATCGTCGTGCGCCCAGCTGGCCGAGATCAGCACCACGGCAATTAGGAACACCTGCAACAAGAGGGGCGTGGCAATTGAGTGGCAATCAATAGGCTTGGGAACTTACGTGCTTGTACATGATGCGCTTGGATTTGAATTGTTGCTCGAACTGCGCCTGGCCAAAGGCTTTTATAGCCAGAATGCGAGTACACCTTGCAGGTATGTACCTGGCATATACTGGCCTAAACGATTACCTGTCTTATTATATATATGTATATATATCGCTGTTTATTTAATTTCTTATTTTAAATGCAATAAGCTCCATAAATTTCAACTGCGCCCCTCATTTAATTGTGTCACATTTTGTTTTCTGTTCAATTTTTATATATGTATTTTGTTTTTGTTATAAACAAGTTTAATTAACATGCGGATGAAAGCCCGTGGAGTCGGCCGTATAGGTAACATGTATGGGCCCATTCTCGCCGGGCAGATCGTATTCACCCTGCACCCCGTTCACATTGCCCTGGGCCGATGTCCTGATGCCATTATCTATCTCAATCTCGTGCCTGTACTGACCCGCTCCATCCAGATTCTGTTGATTGATGTGCTTCACCAGCTCCGCCGCCGGCTCCGGCTCATTGGCGCTGCCGCTGGCGGCCAACAGGAGCAGGAAGCAGGCGCAGCACAGCAATTTCTAGACATACAAGTTGTGCACAGTCAGTTCTGGTGCTCCGAAAAACAACATCATCTCGTTACTCACATGATTCAACATTATTTGTTTTGTTGTGTGTTCTATGAAATTCAACAAATATCAGAGGGGCAGCCGCTTTTTATAGCTGCCCGTTTTGGTCAGCTTGGGCTCAGCGAGAAAACGAGTTTTAATTAATCGCTGTTGATGATTTGGTTAACCAATAGCCATAAATTAGCATGAGTCGGGCCGAGCTGGCGCTCCTCGCTGCGTCGTCTGCTTTTGAAGGGCTCGTCAAATTCAAATTTGAGTAACAATCGAAAAATAACTAAAAAATATAACCAAAAACTAAACTTAATGAATGTCAGTTGAACAGTTGAACTCTGTGTAAAGTGTATCGTTTTAGTCGTCTAGCGCCTGTTTCTTCTGCTTTTCCTGCTGCTCCTTCTGCTCCTGCTGCTCCTGCTGCTCCTGCTGCAGCGGCATCGGCTTGGCCCGGCTGCTCAGCAGCTTGGCAATTCCGTTGACCAGCTTGGGCTCCTTGTGGCTTGTGGCCACTTCCTCGATGACCTTTTTCTCCTCCTCGTCGACGTGCTCCTTGTTGGGCGTGAATACCACCGATGGATATAGCTGTGCCACCTGCCTGTCTATATCCGTTTCCCCGTCCCCCTGATTCTTGGATGCCTGCTGATTGCGTTTGTCGTAGAACTTCTCGTAATATTTGAAGGCCTCGTTGCGCACCGAATTCTTGAGCGCGTTCATGTCCCAGGGTACGCCCATTTTGGTTTTGATCTTGTCCGAGACGTTGCTGACGTCGCTGGACGAGAAGAGGGTGCGAAAAAGATGGCTCAGATCGTTGGGCGTCTCCTCCTCATTTGAGCGCGCCTTACGTTCCCCATGTTTGTCGTCCTTCAACTCGTTTGTTTGCCTTTTGCCCAGCAGCATATCAAATCCGATATCTGGTGCGCTCAGGTAGCCGCGATCCTTTAGGTACACAAGCGGCGAGGACCAAGCGGCTATGAGATCCTTGACAATTTCCTTAACAGAGCTCTGATAATTTAGGGTCTTCACATTGCCATTGTTTTCATCATCCCTGATCACGCCCTGCAATGTTACAGACACGCTCATTAAGGATATTAATAAAAATAGCAAGGAGGAGTTCATGACTGCACAATGAATTTATAACTATACAGAAGTTGATTATAATTTCTGTTTCAATTTCATCTGAAGTGCACTGCAATATTTAAATATTTAAAATTTCAGCGACATGCAAAACTATCGATAGTCCGATGTGGCAGGGTTATCGCAGCCGCCTGAGCTGATTGCGTCAAACGGTTATGCCTATCGATAGCTCGTTGGCAAACAGCTGTTGTTTTGCTGGAGACGAGATTTTTGACTCGAACAAGTAAAAACTAACAATTTAACTCAATTTGTTTGTGATTGCAACGCGCTGGCTGCACTTTCAGAGCAACGGGCAGCACAACTTCCACGCAATGGTCATAACAAGCAATACAACACTGCCCGAGGAGGCGGAACTGGACGTGCAGGAGCTAAATCTGTCGTCGGCTGCGCTGCGTGCGGGTTCTTTTCACCTGGGCAAGCAATGCGAATCGGCCAATAATGTTAGTATGCGGCGTTTATTAAACACATATTGCACGCTCTAAACCATGACCAAGAGCATGTGTTGCATGTGTTCATTTAGTTTATGTGCACATTATCCGGTTAAACGCCACTGGGAGTCAGTTATATAACCTAACCTCAAAAGTTGTAGGTAAATGTTTTGTTTACGTTTATTTTCGTAGGAGTTTATGCTTTGTCGGCAAGAGCTGGATGATCCGCGCGCCTGCCTGGGCGAGGGACGCGCCGTCACCAGCTGTGCGTTGGACTTCTTTCGCAAGGTAAAGAAAACCTGCCACGAGGAGTTCATGCAGTACGCCACTTGCCTGGACAAGAGCAGCGGCACCATGGCCTTCAGTCAGTAAGTACAACAATTCCAATTGTTTTCGAGTCCATTCGTGCTTAGGTCCAACTATTTGCAGTTGCCGCAAGACCCAGGGCGTTTTTGACAAGTGCGTTAAGGATAACTTTGACTGGGAACGTCCGTCCTTTGGCTACTTCACGCGTGCCAAGGTGAGCTGATATATACTCTCTATATTCAATACTCTGATTTAAATGACAATTTTGTTATTAAGGTCATCGAAACTACACGCAAGGCGCCCGAGAAAGAGCCAATCAAGTCGTATCCCGATGCAACACCCGGCCTGCCAGAGGATTATCCCACACCACCAGCCAAATACGGATCACGCTTCTTCTGGCTGGAATAAACGCTGAGGCTAAGTGAAATTTAGGGCGGCTGTCGGCCCAACTTGTAATTTACAACATGCATAAAATCTTGTTTCCATTAGTAATCAGCAAATTTTATTAACATCCAATGTCTACAATCAGGTTCGAGCAACTCTAATGCTGCACTTCAACTGGATTTAAAGGATTCAACTACTTTGCCCACACTTAAATTTTAATTTCTAATTTAAACAACTGAGGCGTCTAGGATGTGGACTGTAGAATACCTTAATCCGCGTACCACTTTGTCCGCTTGGGTTTCTTCACCTTGCCGCCTGTGACGCCGCCGCCGCCTTCGTTTCCACTGATCATGTTCTTGTATTTGTTTATCAATGGCCGGAGGTCATCCTTTTCCTTTTTGCGTCCTTGTTTGGGTCGATTGTTTGCCTTGCGCTCCGCCAGATGCGTTTCGCGTATCTTTTTGTTCTTCTGCTTGCGTTTCTCTGTCTTTACATGTTTCATGTGCTCTTGCGCCTGCTCCATGATCTTCTTCTTGGAGCGCATACGCAGCGAAGTGCCAGGCTTGGCTGCTGTTCCAACATAGTCGGCCTCCACATCGCTTAACTTTTTCTGCGGCTGCTGTTTGCCTTCCGCTTTGGCCGCGCGCGAAGCTTCCAGTTTCTTGATGTGCTTCTGCAGCTTCGCCTTGTTGTCGCCTTGTGGCGCTAAAGTTTTGGGCGTCGGCTTTTGGCCCTTACGTTTCAGGTCGCGCTGCTCCTTCCGCTGCTCCAGCTTAGACTTGTATGTGGGATTGTTTTGCTTGGAGCGTTCGGTGCGCTTCTCTTTAATTTTGTGCACGGCGCGATCCTCAATGCTAAAGGCTACAATCGGTCGCTAGAGAACATAGAAAGTGTCAGGCTAAACTCAATCAAGGCAAGGATTCACTTACGTGCTGAGTGCCAAAGATGCTGGGATTATTATTGAGTTTACGCAACGCAGCCAATGCCCGTTGATGTGTATCGAAGGAGAGGAAACCAAAACCCTTGGATTTGCCCTGCGGATGCTCTGGTGTAACCTTCTGGTCGCGCAACACGCGACACTCGTGCGGACGAAAGCCCGTGTAGGTGAGGGCCATTTGCTTGAGCTTCTCATTGTCATAGTTCAGCGGCAGATTGTGTATGGACAGGCGGTTGCGTGAAACGAAGCTGAAAAATAATATTACTAATGGATATCAGGATTAATGCAGCATTTACAACTTACCGATTCAAGTTCTTTAGCACTTGCGTCTTCACCTGCTCCAATTCGTGTCGCTTGGCCATGTCGGATGCGGAAACACCGTCGGCTGCCTTTGAATTGGCCATGATGAGACCCTCTCTGGCCAGATACAGATTACGTGAATCCTTGGTGGTCTCGTCTTTGGAGTTTTCCGTTTGCTTTGTTTTGATTTCGTCGCGACTGAGTGCCGGATGTGGATCTAGCACCTCGTCCATCAATTTGAACTCGGTGCCCGCCTGCAGACACAAATCGGCCGACTCTTTGGCCTTAAACTTTACAAATGCTGTGCCCTTCGAGTGTCCGGACACCGATTGTCGATTGATGATCGCATACTGCACCACTCCAAATTTGCGGCACACTTTACGCAGATCCGCATCCTCTGCATCGAAGGGCACATTCTTGATGAAGACCGTGCAGCCTTGTTGTACATCGTTGGAAATGGTTTTTTCCTGCTTCAACTGCCCTAGCTTCGATTTTAAATCTTTTTTATCCTTGTCATCTTCATCGTCATCATCATCATTACCATCTTCATCTTCTTCATCATCATCATTGTCGTCCTCGTCATCATTGTCGTCCTCGTCATCATTGTCGTCATCTTGCTCTTCGTCGACTTCTACATCAGACTCTTGCCCTGATTTGTCTCCACTCGCTATCGTATTGTCCTTACTTTTGTCTTCTTCACTTTCATCCTTGACCTCCAACTTGGGTTTCTTGTCCTCGGGCTCATCTTTTTGTTGCTTGGCTGCATACTCATCTTTGCCTATGGCCCAATCCACAAAGACTTTGCGCCCGAGCAGCTCCTTGCCGTTGGCGTGTAAAATAGCCTTTGATGCCATGTTAACGGTCTCGTATTGCACAAAGGCGCAGCCCACCAGCTTGCCATCTCCACGCTTCAGGATGTGTACATCCTCCAGCGTACCCCATTGGCCAAAATACTGACGCAGCGCCTCATCCGTAGATTTGTAACTGATGTTGCGTACAATTAGACGCGCTCGTTTTTTCTGTCTACGTTCTTTTTCCTCCTTTAGACGCTGTGTGTTGAATGGGTTGCGCCGCTTCTCGGGCTTATTTACCTCCACATTATCGTTAGATTCCGGCTCTGTATCCAGCAGCGGTTTCATTTTCTTTAGCTCCATCATCCGCACATAAACAATTGCTCTGCACGTGGAGTTGAATTGTTGACACGGTATCGATAGCTCGATATATCGATAGTTGCGGTGTTGCCACAGACCCTATCCACCTGTTGCTGGTCTGGCAACACCACGCAATTGTTTACATCTTGAGCTGCAACACGAAATTAGTGCAAATTTTGGCAAATTATGCTATAATAAACAACTTTTTAATAGATAAAAACAGCTAAAAGTTATGTTTGTTTTTCTTGAAATAACTGGTGAAATTCAGCTGGCGTCTTAAAATAATCAATCAATAGCATGGATGAACGCCGGCCCAGCATGAACATAATGTGACTCCAAGGATTTAACACATTCTTGTATTCGGCAATTTGCCCACGCTCAAAATAATGTTTAACTGTGCCCACTGGCATTTGTGAGCCATAAACAGCAACGTATCTGCAATAAATTGTGTAAGTTAAATAAATAAAAGTTTATGTAGTTCTTACTTATCGGCGCTTTTGTATATTCTCAGCGGATATTTGGCAACAAATGCGCGTATGGCCAGGTTGATGAGCACAAATCCCGCTGCGAAATAATACAAATCTGTTTCATTCGATACAAGCATGGAAATATCTATTTTCCGGGCAATATTCATAAAGCTCATCGTTGTGGCCAGCTGACAGCCGGCAATCAAACCAATTACTGTAACTGTGCCGGTCGACACATTCTTGGTCCAGGTCACATAGTCCTCCAAGGGAGCACGATAAATCAACTGATAATGTTCTGGTAAGTTATCCCCCTTTAAGAGATATTGTTCCACGCTAACCGAATCCCTGTGGCGCCAGTTGCAGCGAACTGCGCTTGTGCTAAAATAAAGTAGAACTCAATTAACTATATTAACTACATTTAGTTAAGGTGCTTACCAGATATTTCTTTTAGTTACAGCTGTTGTGTTTATTCTTAAATTCATGCATTTAATGCTGTTTCGTAAAATTGCCGCACACATTTTGTTTGTTATGTCGCTTAGTGCATATGTATAGCACAGTATGCTGTTTACGCGCACCGCGAGCTGAGCAAAAATTGAAATTTAGCATACTTCGCGCGAAGCCAAATTTGCCGAGGCGCCTTTTTAAGTTGTTGAAAAATTCGCGTTATATCATTAATCCAGTTTTATTGATTTTTATTGAAATTTAATTAAGTTTATTGTTATGTGCATATACCAAATTGAAGCACAGGGTGATTACAACTTTTGCCCGCAACTCGTTCGAGCTGAATACTCTGCTTAACAGCTGAGAAAATTTGTGTGTGTGCGTAGTGTGCTTTGCGTTTCTGGAAACCAGCTGAGCGTTTGGCGTTGCCACCCATTCAGCAACACAACACAGCAGCATATTTTGTTAAGGAGCTGATATTTTGTTAAAAAAGTGATTTTAACGCAATAGTTTTATACCGCACAATTCTGGAATATATAGCGTATTTCGGGGCAGATATGGACTTAAAACGTTTGGCATGCAAGACGGGCCTGGGCGATGGGCCCGATGCCAAGCGCGCTACAGCTGCAGATGAAGAGGAATGTCTGCAGCTTGATCAGGAATCAGGTATAGATAAAGATACGAGCGATGCACAGACAGAATGCTTGCAATTAGATGTTATCAAGGAAACCGATTGTGATAGTCTCAAAGCTGAACGCGACAACTTGTCGCCCAGCAACCATGTGGCGCCATATACTGGCAACGGATGTGCGCCTTCATTAGAATCATTTATGTTCCAGCAGACTCCTGCTGGCAGTCAGCTCTGCTCCTGGATGTCCAATACAGAGTCCAAGACCTCGGCTAATGATGTTCCCACACTTTTTGAATCGGAAAAGGATTCCAAATCGAATGCCCAGAGTAAGTGACAGCCAGCCCCAACAGCTAATCTCAATTAGATTCACTTAAGCGAACTCGATCTCTCCCGCGTTCAGCTGCCAAGCTTAATCGCAAGGCACTCACCAATTTACGTCGTCAGAACGCGTTGCGTGCTCTTGAGTTGGAGCGCGAGTTGGCTACAAAAACACCCCAAGCACCGACGCTTCTTGTACGCTTTCCAGATCCCAAAATCAGTGTTACTTCGGTCAGTGAATTCTCGGAGAGCATCCGGGATGTCGTTTTTCCGACAAATGTCTCGCAGCGCTATTGCCTGGTGCATCTGAAGGCCGGCGCGAATGTTGAACGCACCATTGAGGAGATAAAACAGGTGCGCTTCGGCCATGGCCGTCTGCACGCCGAGCTGAAGACATTTACCGATGAGGAACAGGCCGAATGCATTGATCCCTGCTCCCTGTATGTCAGCAATATACCCTTCAATATGAACGCCGCTGACATCAAGGTGTTCGTCAACTCCATGCGTGTCGACATTGGTGTCATGAAGCGCCAGAAACGCGCGCGTTATGCATTTGTGCGCTACGCCAATGCCGAGATGGCCATGGAGGCATTCAGGGATCTGGTCCGCCGTACACTTAATAATCGCATATTGACCGTACGCTATCGTCGTCTACGCAAGCGCCTGGCCCATCCAACAGCCGCATCGATGTGCGCCATATCCAATCTGACCATTGACACAATCGCCACAGATGATGATGGCGTCGAATGTCGCGTAATTTCACCACCTCCGGTGGAATCGATTACCATATTGGACAGTGATGATGACCAGCACTGCGAGTCGCACAGCGTCGTGAGCCTCAGCAGCAGCATTCCACACAAGAAGCGTGAGAGCAAGATGACTGCACAGGAGAAGGAGATTCAACGCCTCAAACTGCAAGTGGCCGAACATAGCGCCATTATACGGAGCTTACAGAAAAGAGAGGGCAGTATTGGTAAGTCGGACTCCAGCTGGGGACTGAATCTAAACTAACTAAGTGTTGATTTAATTGTAGCCAATGCCACTACCAAAGTAGAGCCACAATCGGAGTTAACCACAGACAAATCATCATTGATGCAACGCTCATTATCGCCGTGTTCTAGCTATGATATCAAAATGGAAAATGAATATTTGGGCATAGCTCAGAGTACGCCCGAGCCTGAACCAGACTCATTGCCAGATGCCCAATCGAATTCGCCATATCGTGGGACAACTTGCCCAATTGACGGCATGGAGGATCCCATTAAATGTAAACACCAACAATAACCCCCTACTAACCCTTTATATGTATTGTGTGTGCCTCCTTAATATCTTACTTAGCATCCGATTGTTTTGGCTGGCTGATTTCAGGTCTCGGACGTCGCAAGAGCACAAAATCCAGCGCACAGCAGCCGAACCAAAAAGAGAATACAACTAAGAAAACTCCAAAAGTTGCCAATCTGGAGGTGCATGCGCAGGTCGAAGCCGATTTGGATACATAGGATAGGATTTTCATATCTACCAAATTGTAGCACCTCAAAATTATTTGCGTATAAGACTTTATAATCAGCGGCATATATGTGCCATATATATGTATATACATATATATATGTAGGATAGAGTAGTAGTGGATAGCGTAGTAGTTTATAACATTCATATTTATTTTTATTTAATGTTTTTCGATCACTTTTGCTACGTACAATTTTATAAAATTGTCATATAATAATAGTACGTAAATTAAATAATAATATTTCGGTTTTAAATATTAAACCCGAACAAATATCGCTTAAGAGTTTTTACTTACAATCATACACTTAACAATTAAGTATACATATATAATGATCAAATGTGTTCGTTTTTTTTTTTTATTAATTTTTTTTTTTTACGTTCCTATGTCCTTTGCATAAAGAGCCTTAATTTCTATAGTTAATTGTTACACGGCTTGAATTTAGCGCGTAACAATTCGAACTAAACTAAAATATGTTCATTTGTTACTTGATCGATTTAAGTAATTATTTTCTTTCATATGGCTCGTTATAGTTAATATCGCAAATTGTCATTTTGTCAATTTAAGTTACATAACATACTCGTAGTCTCGGCTATGATATGAATTCTGATCTCCTGTTTAGTTGTGCACACTTTCCATTTGGTGGAATGTTAATAACTATTTAAGATTTAAGTTAAATTACATTTAATGCTGCTTTCTGCATTTGTATTTACACAACAACGATTTTAAGGCACCTGTTTCACATGATACATGATGTACATACATATATATACTTTGTTTTATAAGTCGTATTATTCGAATACAAAATTCAAATATATTTTGGTAGCCCGTAGTTAAATCTTTTGCAACGTGCGCTAAAATTGTATAAACTTTACTAAAATTGTATATTATCCGTGGATAATTGAATTTCTATGAAATGTAATGCGCAACGTTCAGATATTTTAGCTAATTATGAATTTCGATAGGCAGCAGAGCAGGAAAGTGCTCAGCAGCACGCTGGCAGCGGAGCTACTGGGCAGCTGATAGGACGTCGCACCAGATCCCGATCCCGATCCCGGTCCCGTACGTTCCGCCACTTCGGGCTCATCGTTGGATTGGTTATCGCCGACAGCTGTTTCCGAGAGAGAAATCAAAAATTGCAAGTAAGAAAATGTTCAAAATTATCCAAAAAATTTTCAATTCTATATCAACTATGCACATATCTTAACTGATATCTATTTGGGGAGCAATATTCAGGTGCAAGACTTTTGAACGGGACTGTGTAAAGATTTTGAGTAAAAAAAAAAAAACAAACAAAATAACTGCCAAAATATGTAGGACTACAAACTAAAGCTAAGCTAACTTAAAAGAATTTAAAAAATAATAGTTAATATGTATAGAAATAATTAATGCAACATACTGTTCCACGCTGTGCGCAAATGTTTTATGTTGAATTCGTAATTGAATTGGCGTTTTCTTGATTGATTCTGGGCGTTTTTCAATGGCGGCAGCGGCGCAGGCTTTTGTTTTTTTTTTGGGCGTGGCATTTGTGTGTGTGATGTTTCTTTTTTTTTATATATATATATTTTTTGTGACATTTTACTTTTTGGACAGAGATCACTCAAGCAGGCATATTTATATGGACGTAATACAACTTAAGGCACGCGTTTTGCATTGGTATAAATACAGATACAATAAATGTATATGTGTATATGATATTAATACAGTTATATAGTTGATGTTGGACAGAATACACGAAACGAAACTGTGAAGGAACTGGAGCTGGAACTAGCGCGCGCTTTTTAAAAGTATCGGTTCGTTAGGCTCCACATCCAGCCGGGCAGCAGACCCATGCCAGTGCCCGTATTTGTATTCGTATTTGGAATCTGCGGTACTGCATTATGGCAATAGTACATTTGGATGGAATTGATCGATTGATCCCAACCGAAATGAAATGAGAGACAGATACATATGTAATAAAGAAAAATTGGTAAAAAGATAATCGCATAAATACAATTTCAGCAATTCGAAGCGGTTTTCAACGGGCAGCGGTTTTGGGTGTGCGCAGGATTACGTGCTGTTTGTGACGTAACTAAATACAATTTGATCTACGAATGATTGCGATTGCGATTGCGATTGCGATACGTTAAGCAAGCGATAGCGATAGCGATAACTAATAATCAGTTCGATCATCTAGCATAAAATACAAATACTAAAAATGAAGCACACAGAGCTACAATTAATAAAGCTTAATTACACGCGCTCACACAAGCAGACACACACATCGAAGATGGAAGAGCAGCTTTTAATTGGTGACACACACCGATTGGGAGAGGGGGGGTAAGTCGTAAGAAGCAAAAGCAAAAGCAATAAGCAGCAGCCGGCGGCGGGTGTGGTAAATCTTTCGTTATGCGCGCGTTACTTTGTTTTTGCTTTCGTTAAGTTCTTGTTCTTTTTCTTCTTGTGATTTGTTTGAGTTGTGTATGTATGTGTGTGTGTGTGTGTGTGTGTGTGCTTTGGAGTTCGTTGTTATTGCTGTTCTTTTCATTTTATTAGGTTTTTGCTTTTCAGTTGTGTTTTGCAGTTGTGTTGTTGTTAATTGTTCTGTTTCGTTTTTATCCGCGTCTCTTAAAGCCTGCAAGAAATATGTACATACGTACAAGTAGATGACATATACAGTTGAAGTTCAGAGCTCGATTTATGTAAATTGAATAAGTTATGGGCAACAAGCACGTGCATGCATGTGTTAAGTATTCAAATTGGCCGACCGACCGACCGACCGTCGGCAATCGTGCAATCTGGGTCATAACATAACGGTTGTGGACCACATACATATGTACAAAACGTGGATAACTTATGAGGTAATGAGTGTGTGTGAGTGTGAGTGCGAGTGTGGGTGTGGGTGTTTGTGTGTGTAGGCCATGCGGTTCGTGAATTTAATAGTATTGATAAAACATGCAATTAAACAGATTTGTGTACACAAGATTTGTCGAAAAAGAAGAGCAACCCAAAAAAAAGAAGCCTTTAGCCAGTTGAATTTGGTGCCACAGGTGTCAAAGAGGGGTAACGACATTTTTTTTTTTTTTGGTTTCGATTTCGAATAAAACGTTGTACGCATATAGTGTTGGAAAATGCCATAATAACTACAGGATATACATATTTTTAGTTAGGGAGGAATAAACTAATATTAATATTACCATAGTACTATATAAATAGGTACATATATACTTAGTGGGGGGGAGGTGTACGTACTGAGGATTGCAAAAACTACACTTTGTGTGGATTTACTACTCGATAGTTGCCGATAGCTGGTTGGGTTCATTGTGGTGTTTAACAAATAGTGTTGTAAAAGTGTGCATAGATGTAAGTGTAAAGCTCAGTGTAGTGTTGTAAAGTGTTCGATTAGTGTTGAGATTAGTAACTTCTTAGTTCAACTCTATAAGTTAGATTAGCCAATTAGTAGTAGGTAGCATGCGCATGCAAAGTTTCGAGTGCACGTTGAGACTTAAACTAGACTAGATTGATAGTTAAGGTATATATATTGCCTGGTACCGCCCCGAAGGGGTAGCGGGGGGGTGAAGTTAGTGAGACCGACTGACCAGTAGTTTGTTTATTTTTCATTTGTTTGTTTTCGTTTTTTACACTGTAAGCAAGATATGATTATAATATTATCATTTTATTTTAGACCTAACACAATTTTAAATTTTGTTCAATTTCGCCTGCGTTTGGATTTTATTTGATTGTTTTTACATGGTATGCTAAATTGAGTTGGTTAGTTAAGCTACGAAAGAGTTAGGTTATAATTAAACATTGTTAGATAAATAGTTGTAGAAATGTTAATAAACGAAACGAAAATGAAAATAATAATAGGGTTAGGAGCTTGCCATTTTCACAATTGAACTAAAAAAAATATATTTTATTTTCACTTAAATAAACCAAAAAACCGAAGAAGTATAGAAATAATAAATGTTATTATGGAACTCTTTGAAACTTTGGGTATTAGTAACATTAGCCAAGAAACCAGTGAAAAATAAGAATTCTGTTAGAATTAGTAAGAACTTCAGGAACCAATAGACAGTTAAATAAAAGTGATAAAAGATAATGCTGGTTAGGAGCGTACAATTGTACAAGTGTTGAGAGGAAAGTGTAGCGCTGTAGCCTGAAGCTGGTTCTGTTTTGAGTACACTGAAACAAACTAAAGTAAAACACCACAAAGTAGGAAACAAAATATAAATTATATATGTATATACAGAAATGTTTACAAGAGCTACGAGTACTAATAGAAGAAATTGGACATACACAATTCGAGAATTAGTTTTCAATAAAAATAATGTATTTTCTTTTCTTTTCTGTTTTTTGCTGTTGTTGTTTTTTCAGGTTCAAATGTTATTTGCTGGGCAATAAAAACAAACACATTGACTTCAATAAAAAGAATTGACTACAATACGAGTACGAGTACGATACGATACGATACATATATAAACTTAATTAAACATACCATATTTGTATAAATTCATTTAATGGATATGTCTCTCCTTTTGTATGGAGAGAGACTTTGCCAGATTTTTAAACATTTTTTTTTGGCTGGTAAGAGAAGTAACAACTCATATATATGTTTATGAGATCTTTTTGACTTTAGTTTTCGATCAATCGAATTTCTATTAAATATTTATTTGTTTACAGTTCAGTTAAATAGTTGAATCCGCTTTTTGGACTCAAACAAAACTACCGCCGAGTCGATCCCACTCACCTGCGTCCAGATCAATATCACCGTTATTATCATCGGCATGCAGACGCGATCGCTGCTCAGACTCAAAGGGATCCTCTTCAAAATTACCTGTGGACGAGGGCGTGTTCTTGCAGCCGAACCACCAGTGTGCCGTCGGCCTGGGGAATGGCGGCGTGGCCGTATCCACCTGTTAGGGAGAACACAGTGAGTAGCATTAGTAAGCTTTCCTTCCCCCAAAAAGAGTAGCTCGTAAGTTGAACGTACCGCGAAGCGTGCATCGTGGAAGCGATAGTACTTGTCGCCCTTGAAGAAGTACGTGTAGCCATTTGTGTATCTGAGCGCCGCATCCAGATTGTTTGGCACGCCCTCCCAGTTGGAGATGGGCTTGGGGTAGCTGGCCTTGACGGGCGGTCGTTTGGCCGGATCGAAGCGCCAGAATTTGCTGCCCTTGAAGAAGTAGATCTTGCCATTGCCGCCCCAAACCATGGCCGCGTCCAAATGATCGGGTATGCCCGTGAAGCCTTCGCTAATCTCCTTGGGATAGGCGCCGTCCATTTGGGTGCCCTGATAGCGCCAGTATTGGGTGCCCTTGAAGAAGTACGTTTTGCCGTTCTTGTACGTGAATGCCGCATCGATGTTGCCCGGCAATCCCGGCCAGCCCTTCGATATCAGTTGCGGATAACCCTCCTCCACGGAGTCTGTTGTCAGCTTGTAGTATTTGTCGCCCTTGAAGGCGTACGTTTCGCCATTTGCCGAGTTGAACAGGGTGTCGATCTTGGAGTCCTTGCATATGGAATCATCCAGCGGCACCTTCGGTGGCGTAAACGATGGTCTGTGCGTGCTGGGCGGGTAAACATTGGTGGGCGTATACTGATTGGTCTTGCGTCCATATAGCGATTGTATGGCCGCCTTGTCATCCTCGTCCAGCTTAAAGACGGGCTCGAAGCCGCGATAGAAGGGCGCCATCAGCGCCGAGCTCTGATCTGAGTGCGAGAGACCGAGCGAGTGGCCAAATTCGTGCGCGGCGACCTGAAAGAGATTCGTGCCGCGTGGCGAGCCGATGGTCCATAATTCGGCATCATCAAAGTGAGCATCGCCGCCAAAGACGGGAAAGAAGGCGTGAGCCAAAGTGCCGCCTTGGCCATCGAAGGCATCGCCATCGCCGTGCTCGCTCTCAACGAATCTAGCGGGGGGAGAGAGGGAGAGTTGACGTGGGTTAGAGAGAGAGAAAACTAATGATAAAAGCGACTCCAACGCATTTCGCTTATAATTCCCAACTGGTTTAAGCTGAGCCTTAACCTAGTTCCACTAGAAATTCTACTTTCCCCCTTTGGGCACTTACTTGATCTCAATATGCACTGGTCCCGATGTTTTTCTGGTGAACGTTAGATCGGTATCCTCGCTCCAGACGGCAAAGGCGCGCGCAATTTCGGCATCGACATCGTTGCGCTTCAAGCGCTTGGGATACTTGGAGATTTTGTAGGTGAGGTTCTTGACACGCCAGCGACTGCCCTGGAGTGCATAACGCTTCGATCGACTGTCTCCGGTGCCGACTCGATCTCTGACACCGCAACGTGGCAGTGACATCAATTTCATTGTCTCCTCATCCAGTTCGCCGGTGATATTGAGTCCGGCGAAGCTCTGGAACTCCTGTATGGCACTCACCCAGGTGTGCTTGTCCTGCAGTCCGCTGTTGGCCGGATTGCGCGCCGAGGCCGGCAGATAGCCAAACTGTGACAGGTAGATCTGCAAGCGAAGAGAGGGAGAGAGAGGGGTTAGGTCAGAGGGAAGATCAATGGCTGGTGGCGGCATTTGCTCCGGCGGGTGCCTCTGATTTATGGCGATCAGATAAGACACGTTTCGCCTGCCTTGTAATTGTCCTGCCGGGCCCAAAGAATGGCGTCCCTCCCCTCGCGGGACGTCTCATTCGTCATTCGTCACATTGCCGCAAAAACTATCTGACTTGCATAATTTATTGCCCAGCGCATTGGCATGGCAATGTTTTATAATACAAACCCCATTCCCTTCCCCCCCTTTAAAGAGTCTCCCCACTTTTAGGCGAGACTTGGCGTATGCTCAATACTTAGAACGAATCACAGTTACGTGACTTTAATTATGCGATTCGAGGTGTGAAAAACAAACTCAGTTCGACTCAGACGAGACGAGACGAGAGCTGAGACGAGACGAGCTGCGTCTCGAGTTAAGGAAGTGTTTTGATTTTATGGCGATTTTTTTTCAATTAATTGAACGCATGTAAGTCGAATTAAATTGTAACGCGAATCTTTGTTCGACAAAATTCTAATTGGGATTAGCATTGAATACAACAGACAACATTCTCCATAGGAAATGCTAGACGCACAAATTCACAATGCGAGGTTAGAGATGCGCCTAACGGTTCCAAAGACAATTAGCAGCTAGTTTCTCTTCTCTAATTACACGCTTTAAATGCGGCAATTAGTATAAATACTATATATACTTTATATATATTATCTGGTGTTTATTTGATTTGTAGCTTGAGCAACGTTTTTCGAAAGTCAGCTGAATTCACGTAAAGCCCATTTGGCATGTGAAACATGTTCCGTTCGCCTCTTGTGTCGCACATTTTTAATGGGTCGCAGGCAGAGAACAGCATATCAAATATATCTACCCTCTGGTATGGTATACTGTGCCATATAATCCGCCCAAAAACAAAAATAAATTAAGAAAAACTTAAAAAAAGAGAAGCACTCTGAAACGGCGCTTGCATAATACCAAACGATCCACTCAGCTGACTGACTGATTGTTTATTTTTTTATATACATATATTTCTTATAGAACTTTTTATGATATTGTATTTTTTATTTTTTCCGAGGAAGTAAACTTTTTCGAGCGAAACGCATAAGTATGCGTGGCGTTGTCCCAATCCTAAGTACTTAATAAACTGGGTGGTGCTGCCGTTTTTTTTTTTTGGCGTGTGGTAACCAACACTGGACTTGGGCGGGTAGTTGCAGGGGTGTGGAAGGGGAGGGGAAGGGGGGGCCTTAGACTCGCCTCAAAAGGTAAATGAACTCGCGCGCGGCTTTTGTTTTGCTTTTCCTGTAAACATGACTCTGACAAGCCACAATCAATCTGGGCAAAAAAAGAAGAGGAGAGGAGGAGAGGAGAGGAGAACAGAGCCAGAATCAGTCACAAAGAGCGATATGCAAATCATTGCAATTTCGCGTTCCGCTTTTCTGTCAAAATTATTACACAATAAAATTAATCGGCCTCTCCTCTCTCTCATCTCTCTCTCTCTCTCTCTCTCTTTCTCTCTCTATCTCTATCTCGTTTCGATAGCCTGAGGTTATTTGTCTTTGCAATGCAGATTAATCGCGCGTATTTCCTATATGCACATGTTGATTTATTATCATTATATTTTGGATCATCCCAATTAAATGCTCAAAATATTTGTTGAGTTATTCTTTTGCTTAGTTTTCGAAAAAAAGCCATAATCAATTTTACATTCTGTTAGCGTCACGCACTGTTAACGTCACGCATTAACATATACGGCGCAAATTTATAAATCGCTTTAAAGTTATGGGTTTATTCGCGAATCTGAACCCTTGGCCGTGAAGCATAGCTCGCGTTTTATTTCAATTTCTTTATTATTTAAAGAGTACTTTTGGATTCGTTGTGCTGCATGTTAAATTCTTAGGCCTAATCTTGTGCCTCTTCCCATTGTCAAGTGCTGCTACAAAACGAATGTATGATAATATATTTTGTTTCGGGCAGTTCCCCCGTTAATTGACTCGTCGTTCAGGTTCAAACTGAGCCAGAGACTTGACCTTGGCTGATTAGAGGGGGGAGGAGGGGTTTGTTATAGAAGCGAGCTGTGCCTGCACATTCCAGCACTCAATGCTCAATATTCGAGTTATGCATTTATGCAATTAACATAATTGCAGCGAATCGTGGGAAATACATGAAAGCAGCCGCATCGAAATTCCAATTTAACTTGCATTCGTTTATTAATTTTCAACCGGCTTTTGTGCACGTAGAACATGTTTGTAAATCTCATAAAACAGAATTGTTGGGCCAATTGTCACTGAATCGAAGGCAACTGTCGATGAGTTGGCCCAGTCACAGCCCAGATAACTCAGGTGTTTGTCTTTGTATTCGTGATAAGATACGCGAGAGCTGGCAACAAGCAGAGAAGAAGAACAACAAGCTGACGAAGTGCCTTTAGAACTGTATTCGATGAGTGCTTTATGGGCTTATCATTTGACAGCCAATGATTCATTTGTGCTGCTGACGAACCTTTCGAATGCCCGAAACGAAAACGAAAAGAAACGTAACGCATCGCATAAAGTGCGTCACAAATTATACATTCCCGAGGATTTCGAAACGGAAGTGTCGAACGGAAATGGCTCAATAAAGTGAGTGAGGATGTGACATATTTCAAGTAACACAAACGCAAAGAAAATTATCTATTAACAGGTGTATTTACCTGTATGTTATTTATAGAGTGTAGATATATAGCTCAAAGATACAGACATTTAAAAGCTTATTAGAACAAAACATTGATAACAAAGACGCGACAATCGTTATCGATTAATGAGCTTTTAATGTGCATTGATATATTAAAGCATATCAAGGAAATCTTTTGTTTAAAAATATGTGAACTCTTTTAATAAGAGGAAGCTTAATAAATGTAATGTGCATGCAATCAATAAGCTGACGAAGTCGAACTAGTTGCAGTGCAATGCGATCGATAAGTCTATCGATAACCGACTAGCTGCATCTACAATTGCAATCGTTATCGAAGAATGAGCTTTTAATGCGAGCGATATATTAAACCATATACAGTAAATCTGGTATTTATAAATATGAGAACACTTTTAATAAGATAATGAGAATATAAGTCTATCGATATCTAGCTGCATCTACAACTGCAATCGTTATCGATTAATGAGCTTTTGATGACAGCGATATATTAATGCACATCATAATATGTGAACACTTTTAATAAGAGAAAGATTATTAAATGTAATCTGTATCAATATCAAACAAGTTGAAGTGCAATTCGATCGATAAGTCTATCGATAAACGACTAGCTGCATCTACAACTGCAATCGTTATCGACCTATCGTTGTCTGTCGCTGTCAATCGAACTCTTTTTTGCATTACGTAGCCGACAGCGCATGTAAATTATACAAAATTATAATGCAAACAGTTGGCGCGGGTTCACGTATCAGCGCACGTTGAAATTGCACTTCAATTTATGATTATAACGAGTGCACAAACACCAGAGACATTGACACGAATTGCCCACAAAAAAAACAAACTCTATATATAATAACAAATGTGGCAACAATTTTCAATGCTGCCACATGCCTCTGCTGCTGCTGCTGCTGCACAATATGCAAATGGAAATGTCAACAGCTCTAAAGGAGCTCAGAATTGTACTCAAAGCAGACACTTGAAAAGAACATAGCTGGGAGCACTCGGCGTTTGTCTATGACTGACCTCTTTGCCTACTTTAACGGCACACTGGCTCACTGGCCACGCCCACTGCGCCCCCAACCCCTCCCAAACACTGCAGTTGAACTTGTGGCAGGCAGCAAGCAGCAAGCTGGCGTGCGGCACTTGCAGGAAATGCCTAAAGGGCTTTGCATTTTCAAAGCCAGTCCCCAAAAAAAAAAGTTGTGCACTAACTTTTGTTACTCACAGTACAGCAAAGTGTGTGTGTGTGTGTGTGTGTGTGTGTTTGGGAGCACACTCAAGGTATGCCCAGTGCTTGCCTTTAAAGTACCGCAAGAAATCTTTGATTGCTTCTTAAGATTTGATTGCCGGCCTGAACTGCTTGCGAATTATAAGCTATATGTTTATTTAATGAAATTTCCCATTTGCACAATGCAATCCTTTAGGTCATTGACCCCAGGCGAAAATGACGGTAAATACGTGTAGTTGACGCCTCGTTGGCGTGTTTTGACCCTGCCCCAAGGGGGCCACTTAAGGGCGTTAGCTAGCTTCGTACTGCATATACATACATATATATATTTCCGGCCAAACAAGAACAGGACATGCATAAATTATAAACAAGCAGCGAGCTGTACGTTTCGCTTTTCTTTTCTTCTTTTTCCTCTTTTCCTCTCGCTCTCTGCGTTTGCCCACACTTCACTTGACCGGAAATTGATGAGAAAATTGTATTTGCCCGCCCAAAGGGTGGCCACAGGGTGGCTACTTTTTGTCTGTGTGTGTGTGGGGGTGTGTGTGTGGGGTGTGTGTGTATACGTGTCTAGGTCTAGGTACATTGGGGTGCGTTGCTGACGCTTTAAATTTTCCAACTCGATTTGGGTCAAGCAGCGACGGGGTCAATGACTCCCGGTTGGAAACTATTTAAGCCTAGACCTAATTTCAAATAAAACGCATCGAGAAAGTGAATGCAGGCAACAGATCTGCCAACTTGACCAACTCGTTTGGCCAACTGTATTTCTGTGTGTGTGTGTGTGTGTGTGTGTTGCTCTTAATGATTACATCATTAAAAGTGAAGCCAAGTCGTCGCAGTCGAAGCCTGCCTCTTAAATGGGTTTGTGTGGGGCAAAACTGGGCCAAATGAGCCGCGTTAAATGTTGCGCAATTTCGCTGCCAGCCAGCCTAAAAAATATAAGTATGTATATAATACATAAATGCTGGCTAATAACTTTGTTAGCTGCTAATTCCCATAACTCGCATTTGACATTTAGCCGCAACATTCAGCTTGTTGTGGGTTGTCTTTGCCCTCTGTTAATTCGCTGGGGCGATAAATAAGCGCCCGATCTTAAGATAACCCAAGTGTTTTATGCAAAACTCCCGACTCGGTATGGTACTAGCAAAAAACAGAAAGAGATTCGTTTTTGTGTACCCTAGAAAAGAAACCTATAGAGAGTATAGAGTATAGAGTTCAGCTCTATAAAATAAAGTATAGTATAATCTGCTCTATATGGATTCTACATATCAAATGTGATATTTGCCAGCTATTCATTTCATAGCCAAGCATTTTCTAAAAATATATCCCTTGTTAAAGTTAAAGTATTTCCTAGTCAAACACTTTTCCAGCTAGTTTTTGTTTTTTTGTTGTGCGACCTTCGTTGCGGCTTTATAAGGATGTGCCACACAAATATCATTTGTTTGCGCTGTTAACATTTGCTTTTTGCATACGCCTTTTGCAAAATGGCAAGGTTAGCCTGTTTAGCTGTTTTTAGCTGTTTGCCTGTTAAGCGTTTTTCTAGCCATAAACACGGGCATCCTTTTGTTAACACCTTTGTTAACAGCTCACCTGAAGGTCGCGCACACGCAACGTGACTTTTTGTTTGTGTTTGTGTTCTTTTTGTTTTTTTGCAGCTGCTGCTGTTGCCCAAATCAATCAAACTTTTCTATTTATTTCTTGACTTTCCCAGTCATGATGTGTTTTTGTTTTTTGTTAAAGTTATTGATTAGCTGGAGTCTTGAGTCTGTTTTTTGTTTCTCCGGGCGCTGCGTGACGCACGCGAAACTCTGCAGCCATAGAATTTTCTTGGGCAACTTTCACTCAGTTGGTTATTTAATTTTTCTTCTTTTTTTTTTAAGTGGTAAAGGAAGTTGTAAGCTGCCTGGCTTAACAATTATAATTAGCCAAGCAGAGTATTAGTTTTAGACTAGTTTTTATTTTGGCACTTAATTTCGATTGCGGCAAAAACTTTTGGCCGCCCCACGTTGGGCGCCCAACGTTGGTCTTTAGCTCTTTTAATTAGGCTAGTCGGACAACAAAAAAAAAGCAGACTGATGATGATGACGCTGCCTCTGCTGCTGCTTCTGCTGCTGCTGTTGAGCTCACTCCAATGAACCGCAATTAACCCTTGACAGCGGTCGATTATGTATACGCAGCGTATGACGCGAGGCTTTTGTTCGACTTTTTGTTGTGGGTTAATATTTATTGAAGGTGGGCTGCACACTCGAATCATAATGCTGCACTCACTAATGAGTCATGTACTCTACCAGTTTTATGTTTGCCCCTCTCTTCCTGTCCAAATGATGTCAATTTGTTTGATTTCTATCGGTTGCAAATGTAATGCAACTTGTCAAGCGGCAGGTGACAGTGGACGACAGTAAGAAACTTAACAATTTGTAGCTTAGCTTAGTGAGTCAGCCGAAACATATTAATCAAAGCTAGCGCAGCGCAGCACGAATAAATTGTGTTTTTTTATCGGAAAAAAGTTGCTTCATTTAAATGCACTACGAGCTAAATATGTGTAGATAAAAATAGACAGCATTTATTTGTTGTATATCTTGTTTAGAATAAGCCGAAGCACACGATTCGTCGAGTGTGGTCCACGACTAGACGCTGGCTTTCAGCTATTGCGCTTAACTTTGAAGAAGTTGCAATGAGAAGCGCGGAGAGAGGCGCAGACTAGAACAATGGCTGGCTATCAGCTGTGTGCGTCTGTGTCTGTGTGTCTGGCATTGAAACGAGACAAACATGGAAATGTTGACGTATGTGTTCTATGAACATCATTATTAACAGCATGATCATCATGATGATCATCGGCATTTAGCGACGTCGTTTTGGGCGACTGGCCAGCTAAATGGCCGCCAAGTTGTTGGCAAAAACGCGCTCAACATATCAATTAGTCAAATCGAATTGAGACAAAGACGATCTTTTATTTTTTTTCTATTTTGTATTTTGTATTTTGTTCTAAGCACGCATTCGCGCAGCGCGTGCGATCGCTCATCAACTGATCAACAATTGATCGATAGCCGCGATATCGATACTATACTCGATACTCGTTACATTTCTCTCGCCGTAAATGGCCAAGCAGGAACTGAATTGTGGACACGCGGACACGTTCTCAACATGATGCAGCACAATTCACACTACTACTATTTTTTTGTAGCGCATCGAACAAGCGATTAAAAGGTGCGGCTACAACTGGACTCGGTCTATGTTTCCACCTGCTGTTTAATTATTTATGCAGATTGCAATCGTGCAACAGGAGAAAACACTTTGTGCCGCAAAACGTGACAGCCTTGTCAAACGCCAGCAGCAACAGAATCATGAGAAATGAATAAGTGTCCCCCACCCTGTTGACCACAAGTATAGTCAGTCACGTGCCTTGCGATTTGTTAAGATTCACTCGGCCTTAGGCTGATAATCAGCTCAGTTTAGCTTAAATATTATCATATTAATGACATGCAAGCTGCAGCTCGATGCAGCTCGATGCATGTCGTCTGTCTAGGTGGGCATTACATGGGCACTTTAGCAAATAGAACTTGAGATTAAGCATCTCAGGCAGAGTTAACATGAGGTTAAACTAAATGTTATCTTACCCAGAGCTTCGACCTCTCTGTGCAACCCTTGCCCAATGTTTCAGCTTAGACAATTATATTTTATATAAATGCTTAGCTGCTGTCATGCAGACAATTTAGCTTGAAAGTTATTGGACATAAACATGCAATGCTCGCGAATATCATGTGAATGCAATGTCATGACCAGCAAAACGAAGCCCCGCCCCCCCCAAAAAAAAGCATCTCGCATCTGCCATTAATGCATGCGATGCACACGAAGTGCGAAAGGGAAAAGGGAGAAGGAAGAAGGGAAATGGGCAACAGCTGCTGCATTTAACCAGAAGGCTAAGGTCGGAAAACTATGGGCGATATATATGTACGATTTATACGATATGCGATGTGCGATGTGCGATATGCGATGAATGCATTGCGTGTCGATGTGACTGGAATTAATTGCCAACATGCGCAGCCAGTTGCATGTGTATACACACATATATACACACACATGTATATATATATACATATATATATCGTATATACCATGTGTGTTATATCATATAGGAACAACAATAGCATTGACAATAGCTATCAAGATTTAGCCGCAACGCGCTGCAATTATCTGCACAAGTTTTGTCAAGCAAATCGGAAGTAAATGCGCCAAATCTAGATATATATATATATATATATAGATATATACAGATATATATATGTATGTCTAACTGCAAGTCAAGAAGACTTCATTCTCTGCTCGTGCTTCTCTTTTCCAGTTTCTCTTAATTGCGGCGCGATTAAACGCGCTTTTATATTTCTCAATTGATTTAATGACTTTCAAGCAAAAAAATAATAAATAATAATATAATTCCCCCCCGCCCTTCTTTTGCCTCTCTCTCAATTTTTTGCTGTCTAATTTAGTAAATTATACAGTTTGCATGGAAAATTTGTCAATAATTGAATTCAATTTTAATTAAGCGAATACAACTAAATTGCAGTTACAATTGCAGTTTACATATTTAATAGCCGCCGTTTAATGATGGACACGTAACTTCAATTTTGATTAAAACAAGTTATTTGAGAACTTAAGGAAAATTGGTTCTGATTTTGGGAAATCAATTTTAAACTATTTGCTTTCGTTTTTAGTTACTAAAACTGAAATTTTCCATTCCCTTTTAATGCTGATTTTGGCAACTTTTACTTTATGCAAAAGAATTTAGTTTTAATCTATCTTTTTTCCATATATTTCGAGTCGTTCACATCTCCTCTTCGTATATCTCCCCCCCTCCCAAATTGATATCTTTGTTTAACTCCACACTCGACTCAATCTAGACTCTTTGTCCTCCATGGTCACTTGGGACTTACCTCAGCTTGTGTTGTTGTGGATACGGGCGCACTTTGGGCCGCCACCAGAATGGCTAGGAATGTGCCTAGAACTATGAACACGGATGCGTAGCTTTGGCAGGTGTTGGACATGTTGTAGCTGTTGTTGTTCTTATTGTTGTTGTTGTTGTTGTGAGTTAGTCTGCGGTTGTCTGGGGCGCACTTTGAACTTCAAGTCGTGTCTGAAGTTTTGTAAAAGCAACTGCGCACTGCAAATAGAAATAGAAATAGAATTGCAAAAAAGGTCAATTAATATTTTAGCCAGGTAGAAGAATCATAAAAGAAGCCGCCAGCGACAGCGCCAATCAAATGGGCCAAGTGCAAAAGGGCAAACGGAAGCGAGTCTCCTCCTCCCCCCCCCCCTCCCTTTTTGGCCAACAGGTTGAGTGCAGGCTGAGGGCCTGGAACGGTTAACGGAAGTGGCCGAGTTGTGCACAAACTTGTGTGTGTGTGTGCGCGTGTGTGTGTGTGTGTGTGTGTGTGTGTAGCTGACGTTGGCAACTGATGTGTCAGTTTTTACTTGTTGTTGTTGTTGTTGATTGCAGCCGCAGCAGTCATGTGGCTTGTCTCGCATTTGTCTACACTTGAACTTAAATTTAGACTACGCCCCAATTACAGCCTAAATTTAGATGGGCCAATATTTGCGCAAGGATCAGCACAGCAGAGATATTAGCCGAGACTTATTTACACCGCGAACATATGATAGGCGCCTAAAAATAGCAACTACTTTTGCCTTACATTTGTTTTTATGGCAAACGTTAAGTATACGACATGTGTTTCTGCTTGATCTCCAGCAACAGAAGATAGAGCCAAGAAAATAAGACCTTAAGCCAGGACTCGCAGCTGCTGCTGCTGCTGCTTTATGGCGTTATAAACTTGAGTTATAGCCGTTTTATTTGGGCTGCCTAACGGCACACGGCAACACGGCAGGTGCAACGCGTAATGCAGCTGGCATTACAGTGCGTCTTAAAATATGAGTTACAGTGTGTTGTCTTTTGAAACAACCCAAAAAAAAGAGCAAAATAAAATGGGCTAACACTAAAGAAAGTTGTGTGTTTATTATATTATTTCTTTATTATATATTAATTTATTATATTATTTTTTTATTTTATATTTATATATTTTTATTATATATTATATTTTTTTATTATTATTTAGTATATACTTTATTATATATATTTAATTTTCCTTACTTAAGAACCTTGTTTTTCGCATTTCCTCATACACAAACATAATTTTATCTGTGCTCTACTTTTAAGTTCTTTTCTTATAATCACAATACTTAATCACACTCATATTCACAATGGCTAATCGCACCTTTCTAATGCCTGTTATATATATATTTCTTTCTATTTGCATATTCTACTGTCTCCTGTCACAGTTTTGGCACAAGTGTGGCAACCTTTTTCGCGCAGTGCATTCTGTGACATCAGCAGACGTGCGATAAGGGATATCAAGTATACGACAAGTGGCGCGCAGTTTTCAACGCCAGAGGTACAAAATTATAAATATTTCTATTTATTTTCGCTTCATTTTGGGTGTGCCAAGCGGCAAGAAGAAGCAGCTGGAGAAACAATATTTGCTGTATGATATTACGCACAACTCTGCATTGTTGTCTTTCATATTGACTAATCACCCGGGGGATTTCTGTGTGTGGACATGGGCATTATCATTCCGACTGCGTAGGCGAAAATCGTGTGTGTTTCCAGCTAAAATGTACACTTGTACAGATAAACAGTCAAATTGGGAGCAATTAGACAGCCGGGTTGAAGGTCGCTCCACGCTGGGTTTAAGGTTAAAGCTGTCGATTTGGTTCGCTTGGCTACACAGTCATATATGATATATATAGATATATATCTATATATATATATATGTATAGGGGTAGTCATAACGATGAATGCTTTTGCATTGTTGTTTAATCAATACGCGCAATTTGCGGTTCAGCAGCACAAATTTTTAGCTAACAAATTACGTATACGTAATATTTATCGTATACGCAATATGGGTCATCGACAGGAGTTGTTTTTTTTTTAGGCAGGTGTTACTCAGTGGCCTATGCTAATATTTACTACACTTTCCAACTAAATGTGATTCATATAAATAATATTTATTTTATATGCAAATTATTTGGGAGTTCTATTTTTTTTATTCTTTTTTCTTGCTGCCTTTCTTTTGTGCTGTTGGTTTTGTTATGCGGCATCTAATTAGCAGTTGGAATGTTTGCCAACAGGTTTAGCAACAGTTACACTGAGAGAAACTCGATTAGAATCTACTAATCAAATAGCTGAGCAGGGCTTTAAACATATTCTCAGCTGCTTTTACAGCAAATTTTCGATTGTTTTTCAATTTGTTGAAAGTTGGGCAACTTTTTCGCTCAGTGCATCTATGACGTTTGTTAGCATTTCCAGTTTTTGCTGGCCAGTTGCGTTGTTTTTAAACTCAAAGATGCGGCAAATTGCACAATGAACGCGCGTGTGTGTGTGTGTGTGTTAGTGTGTGTGTGTGTGTGTGTGTGTGTGTGTAGCTCGTGTCTTATCAGCAATTCTTTTGGGTTGTTTTCTGTTCACTTTACCAAATGGTTGTTAAAGTGCTCACGAATTTACGCATTGATAAGATATGCGCGGCGTCGATTTATGCTTCAGGGCTGTGTGAATTACCAAATATTTGTAATGGCCAGCGTTCCATCAATAAATATTAATTTGGTTTAGAACTTGACCTTAGAGATAGGCACAGGTGGGTGGGTTAGTCAGGCACACACACACTCATGAAAGCAAAGTGAATGTATTCACGAGTGCATTCAATCAAATGTAAATTGTAGGGTGTTTAATTATATTTAATTGCTGCTGCTTATTCAAGTTCATTTCTCTTTCTCTTTCTTTTCGCATTGTTTTAGATAAGATTTCGTTTTGGGCTTTATCGTCCGAGTGGATGCTGCAATGCAAATGCTTACATGCGAATTGTGGCTCTCTGTGGATCAATGAACTGTTGTTGTTACTGTTGTTGCTACTGTTCTTCTTCTTGTTCTTGTTGCTGTTGTTGTTGCTGTCTTTGTTCCTCGGCTGATTGTCGTCGCATGCAACACTTTGACAAATTAATTAATTAGCTCGTTGCATAAATTAAATGCGCGCGTTTGTCTCAATGTGGGCGTTTTTCGTTGGCGTTGACGTATTTCTTTCTCTTTACTTATGATTTATTTATGTGCACAGTTTAAAGACAATCCTTTTGTTTTTTCTTATTTGAAATACATGCACTAATTGCTGGCACTGTGCTGACAATTTCCGCAAGAAATGCAACTGTAACGGTCTAAAAAAACGGCACTTGTTCACTTTGCAAACACTTCGTACTTTAACTTGCTTTCAATTCGAATGCTTGCAACTGTTACGATTTGAATTCTATTTTGATATTAAGTTAATTAAGTTTCTATCGAATTTCGTGACTCGCCGCTAAACACAACCGCACAGAGCAGCGCGCAATTTTCAACTGATCCAACGGCGCATCACAAAGTGCGAGGCGTTTAACGCTCAGCGAAAGCTTTTCGCAGTTGCGCACAAAACAAAAGCTTTCGCACGCACACGCATCACACTTAACAGCGACACTGACAATAACAGCGCTCTGTTGCGTTTAACAGCGGGGATTCCATAGCTGGTCAAACCTGTTGCTGTGGCTGCTGCTGCCGCTGCTGCTGCTGCGGCTGCTCTTAAAGCTGCGCTCTGCTGTGCGTATGAGTAATGCGAATTTCTTGGAAGCCGCAACATGTGTCATGCTCTCTGTGCGCGTTTGTAGCAGCAGCAGCAGCAGCAACAGCAGCGGCAGCGGCAGCTTTTGTTAACCGTTTAGCGCGCGCTTTATTGTTCTTGTTGCTCCCCACTCATTTGCATTTTTACAGTTTACAGTTTACAGTTTCTTGCGTTGTCATTTGACAGTTTATTGCCGGCTGCTGCTGCTGCGCTGCTGCTACTGCGCTGCTGCTGCTGCTGTTTCTTGCAAATTTCGTGCAATTTCCGATGAATTTGTGACTCTTTAGCGCCCTGCTTTTAGCTTTAGCTTTAGTTGTGGGCGTGGAAACCCCTCGATACACGAATTTATGAATGAATCTCGAATTGATTTTCGATTTCACAGTTTGCTTTCAGTTTGTGGTTTTGCGTTTCTCAATGAATATTAGTCATGACTAAGCGCTGAGTGTATTTCGATGTGTGTGTGTGTGTGTGTGTGTGTGACAATTAACACCTGTCTGGCACACGCCTTGCGGTCTGTACGTTTCTGCAGCTGAGCTCAGCCATGTCAGAGGTTGCCTCATAAAATCCAAAGCAGGAAGCTGAGCTATTAGTATGTTACCTATATAGACTTTATAGGTAAATTAGCTGCTTGTGCTAATATTTGTTTAAATAAAAGTTGCATAAAATATATCAAATATTTAAATAAATTGTATATCGTATAAACATACGTTCTTAACCTAACTTTCTTAATAAATTATATATCGTATAAACATACGTTCTTAACCTAACTTTCCTGATGTCTTATCCTGGCCAAATATTTCTCTTTTTTGTGCGTAAATAATAAAATATATCAAATATTTAAATAAATTGTATATCGTACAAAATAACGTTCTTAACCTAACTTTCCAAATGAATTCTATATCGTATAAAATAACGTTCTTAACCTCACTTTCTTAATATCTTATCCTGCCCACATATATCTTTTTTTGTGCGTAAATAAAAATACGAGGTAGTTTTACAGAGTCTTGTTACACACATATCTCTATATATACTTAGAATTTCTTGAGAATCGCAATTACGTCAAAGAACTTATCAATTTGTCTGTTTTAGAGTATTTCACATGTCGACTTCCCAGTTTTTTTTTATAGGGTTCTTATTTGTTAGACACACAAAGCTAATCAAGTGCAAATATATATACACATGTTTACATATATCATTTTAGTCATTGGAAATGCGCCTGATTTTCTTAGATTTCCGAATAAATACTTGTAGATAGATAACTTTGTTTGTGTGTGTGTGTGTGTGTGTGTGTGTGTTGGTGTATTTGGCTTTTACCCCATCAATTGAGCAAAAGTATTAAAAACTGTCTACGTAGATCGTCTGAATCAAGTTGTGAGTCAGCAAACGACCCCCCCCCTCTACCCTATACCCCGCGACCATTTCCAGATAATTTGCCTATAAACAGATGCTGTTGAGGGAGGGAGGGAGAGGGGGGGGGGGAAAGTAAATTGCCCAATGTACCAGACACTTACGAGCTGGTAAACAATCACAGTAGCTGCAAATGATCTGTGCACATGTGTGTATAATTTAATGCAGCTCTAGCGGAAATTTACAGAGATGCAATGTGACCAAAATGAAAAGACACATGTGTGAAAATAATTTACACAGATTTTATGTCAATCCCAAGTTGTTGTATTTAACAGAAGAAAGAGAACAAAAGCGCCACAAAATGTTGCATATGCGATTCCTTGACAGCTGCAGCCGAAGAACTGGCAACTGGCAACTGGCAGAGGAGGGGAACCTCGAGAACCTAAAGAACTGGTACGAGACCCGCCTCTCTTTTATGGCATTGACAACTTGCAGTTGTCGTCAGACCCCCCCGCCCCACCCTCTCCCGCCCCGCCCTGTTGCTAGTCCTCCCTCTCCAGCTCGCAGTCATCTCTTGTAGCTTCATCTCTGACAAGAACAATGAAATATTTATGAGCCTCTTGCTGTCTTTTGTTTGTTTTTATATTTTTTTAATGGCAACTATTTATCGTACTATACGTATTTATAGATTTGTGTTGCTGCTGCTTTTTCTGCTGCTGGTTCAATGCCATTCTGTTTGAACTGTATGTATATGAAAGTCTATGGAGCTGTGCTCAAATAATAATAACCATTTATCGATTATAAAATAACATTCATTTATGCGTTAAATGATAAGGCTAATTGTTGTTGTTATTTGCGGCCTAAAGCGGCTGATTCTAAACTTAATCACGTCACGGTCAGATCGTAATTCAAATTGTGTTATTGGCATTTGAATTTGAATTTGAATTCGAATTTGAATTTGAATTTTACACAATTTATGCCTACGTGCCTGCATTTGTTAATGTTTGAAGAACAATCGAACAGCACAATTGATGCAATGCAATTCCAATTGCAAACACCTCAATAAAGACATGATTGTCCCCCCATTGTCAAATGCAACAGGAAGTGTGAGAAAAGGATGTTGATCAAATCAATAGATTCAGTATTTATATGTGTGTAAAGTATACCCTATAGTTATACGATTTCAATGAGTGACAACTTTTATGCAAGCTAATTTATAGACCAAGTTTCAGTTGATTACCTGCTAAGCAAACGCAGTTAACATAGTCTTGATATGATATGATATGGTATTCTTTTTATCTGCTTTATCATAATTATTCATCACAAATATCATTAATAAAAACACAACTAGCAGTTGAGTCTGGGGGCATATTTCTGCCGTGACTCATCAGTTTTTTGGGGCCTAGCCCACAGGAAGAAAACTTACCACAGCGAATGTTGCAGTCACAGACTGAGATATATATATATATATATATATATATGTTATGTAGCCCAAAGTGCGGCACGTGCCTGTGAATCTTTCCAGTTCCGATAAGAATCAGCGCAAATATGACAAAGACTAGCTGCTTCTTATCAGACTGGGCCTTAGATTGGCCAATTGCTGATTAGGCTATATGACGCACTGATAAGTCTAATAAGAATTAGGCAGCGGGCACAAGGTTAACTCTCACTTGGCAGCCAGTTAAAGCTGGTTACAAATACTCTATGATAATTATTGAATAAGTTTCGTTTTTAAAATTTAACTGGCAGCTTTGCGTATGTCGCCAGGTGGGTGAGCAACAATTCAAATCAAATCAAATCAAATCAAATCCGAGTTCGAATTCGAATTCGAATTCAAATCGAGTCGAGCCGTGTGAAGCGACGTCTTTGGATTACGCGAACCGTTTCATAGCACGTTCCGTGTGCGACTCCCGTTTGTTGTTTAGCTTTGACTCTACGCTAGCTCTCGCTACCTGTCTCCCTCCCACCCTCGCCCCCCTCTCTCCACTCCCTCTCTCTCTCTCTCTTTCGCTCTGTCTGTTGCTGAATCGTGGTGGCCTGGCCAGGCTAAATTACGCGCTGTTAACTTGTCTTTCTGCCGTTTCTTTGGCGCGACAAACGCCGGCGACACTCCTCTCTCTCTCTCTCTCTCTCTCTTAAGCTCTCCTCTCTCTCTCTCTTTCTCTGCGCGTCTGTGTGAGTGTGTCGGTGTGTTTTGAATTCTAATGGTACGAGTATTACCTATTACCTGTGCTACCTTTGCATATGTGTTGCTACTTTGTACCCGCTTTCGGCGTCATTTATAAAACTATCTAGACTAAAAGTCCTTTGACTATTAAAAGCCTTTTGTAACAAATGAAAGGGGAGACTTTATTATGTTACTTTATAACTGTGCAACATATATTTATAAATTTTGTACATATATATTTATACAAAAATTACATAACTAACGCGTGTTGCTTCTATAATTCTCGACAAATTAGTTAATAGTACAAAATTAAACACAAATTGTGTTTTATAAGCTTAAATACTCCGTATAAATTCTCTGCTTAACTAATTCCTCTTTTAAAGATTCGTAATACTTCAGTTATTCACTTACAAATTTAAAGCAAAGATTTTTTGTAAGTGTATACAAACTTCGTCATACAGAATTTTAGTTTTTTGCCATGTTCTATTTATTATAATAGTTCAGGCGGCATTTGGAGCGGCGCAACGTCGGCGTCGGCGTCGACGTCGTCGTCGCTGTCGTCGAGTCACGCGACTAACAATAAACATAAAATACAGACACACACACACAGAGACAGACAGACGCACACACACACACCCGCACACACCCCGCTTGTGTTTGGCTTTTTCGTAGGAATAACTAGAAAATAATTTCCTGGCACTTTGTGTGGTCAAAATTGGCCGCAGGCATAGAGAAAAGTTTGTTGCCATTGGGACTCGTGCAACAGGCCATAACAAAAGCGGCAAAAACGGAAAAGTTGAAAAGCTCTAGAGCTGCTTTAAAGCGTTGCGAGTTAACAGCGTACTTACCTCAAGTTTCAATTGTGTGCAAGAAAGAAGCAGAATAATAAAATGCCCAAAAAGTCCTCTAGGCTTGATCTATGCGCTGTTAAGCTTAGCAGCTCTGTTAGCGCACTGTTAACGGTCGAGTTATTTGATGATTCACGCTGTTAGCTCAAAGCGGCAGCTCTCTAATAAACAAAAAAGCTCTTGCTTTTATTTTTTATTTATTTTCTTCTTGGTTTTTTTTCGGTGCCGGAAGCGTCACAGTTAAATTTTTTGTACACTCAGTTGGGCTGGTATTTGCGATATATTTTATATATTTATATGTTTTATATATATATTTATTATTTGGGTTCTCAAACTCTGGGCAGCCTGTTTTTTTTTTAAGCACCGCGCGCACTGCAGCTAAAAAAGTGTCGGGTTTCAATTTCAGTTTCAGTTTCACGAGTTTGCAACTAGACTGAAGCCGACGCCGCTGCGCTTAGATACTTTTATATGGCCCGGATCAAGGGGTGCGTTACAGCAGCAGCAACAGCAGCAGCAACAACAATAACAGAAAATACGATACGACGATCCAATCGGATCAGTCTGTCAACGCCGACGTCTCTGCCGACGGCGCAGTCGATGTCGACGTCCTTCCCTGTCAGACGGATGCCTCAATGTGGTGTTTGCCTCTTCCTCATTTGTTTTGGGAAGTATGCAAAGCAACAACAACTACAACTACAACAAAAGCTCAAAGCTAAAACAATAGCGCTTAGCCTTAGCTCGGCTACAGCCTCCTCTTTAGCCTCAGCTTTTGCCTGGCTCCTCTCACTCCTGCCACGCCCCATTTGCTGCAGCTTTTAAGGGCGGCGCTGCACTGAGTCATTTTTGCTCATTTGTGACGCACTGTCGATAAGAACTGGAGCTGGATTCCTGCTGATCAAAACGGTATCAAAAACCGCAACGCATTGGCATGGAAATCTCCATGCACTATCTCCCTCTTGCTCTTCCTCTCACTCTCGCTCTTTATCTGTGGCTCTGTCTGAAGTTCATGAGCTGAATCATTTGATATGCGCGCCGTTTCAAAGTCTCAAATGTTGTTGTTGCTGCTGCTGTCGTTGCTGCTGTTGTTGCCGCTGTTGTTGCTGCTGTTGTTGCTGCTGTTGTTGTCGCTGCTAAATTTCATTTTATATTGTTCTTATGTTTTGATTTATACACAGTCAAACGTGCAGGAATGTCCCTTTTCTTCAGCTTCTTGTTCTTCTTGTTCTTCTTTGTCACCCTCCTGCTGCTTATTCGCCTTATTTAATGGCTCCTTTGTATCGCATTTATTTAACATATAATACAATATTGGAATCAAACAAATAAACCAATCATTTTAGTTGCCAGCCAGGAAGTCAGCGGACAAATCAAATGGCCAGCTGGCCACTCCCCATATATAAAATATTGTTTCTAAGAGGTATTTTGATGGATTCTCATCTGAGTCAATCTCGTTTGACGCCTATATTATAACTGTTTATTATGCTGCTTAAGCGCGCGTGGGCGTTCTTTATGGTCTTTAATGGCAGGATCAATTCCCTTTATTTAAATAATTTCCCCTGCTTTAATTGGCATACTTTTAGGCGTTTATTTCGTGTTCTCATAAACACTTTTTGTTGTTTTTTTTCAATTTTACTGTTATTATGGAAACAACTTTAAGTAAACTTATGCGAATTATTCTACTGTTATTCTACTGTTAAGTCTAACATAAAAATGTACAAGGGCAGGGTAATTATATAAATCGATCTTTGAGATCGATTAGATGAAACCTCCTCAATTTCCTCCGCATTCGGACTCCTATTTCTATTATATTCTACGTACCTTTAGAAGGGGTCTAGCCAAAAATGATTTACTGTTTTTTTTTCTCTTTCTTTTAACAACTTTTGTTGGCAATCTCAGAGAACATTCCTGTGCTTAAGTTAAGTTCAGTTAACGCACTCGTAAGTACACTTTCGTTTCAAGATTGTGAATAAATGAATAAATGTGAATCACTTATTTACCGTTACGCCTGGCAGTTGACCTTGAACTGAAGCGCAATTGAAGCTGTCTGAAAGGGTGTCTGCCTTATAAACATGGTACTCGATATGCAGTCAGCCTGACCTTGACTCCTCATTGGCCGCGTGTCTGAGCCACCTTTGTCTGGCTCTGTCTCTGGCTCTGGCTCTGGGTTTCCTCTAGTACGTGTTGTGGTCGTAGGACACGCCCAGATGCATCATGGGATAACAACATTTGCCCAGACAGACCTTATACTTAATATGAGCCACATATAATTCATATGTTCGAGTGACTAGCCCAACATTCCCAGAAATGTCTTGAGTAATGCTTTCGCCCAAAAACAAAACCAGACGACATCTGAATAAACAAACTTTTTAATATCTCTTTTTGGTTAGGGGAAATTGCATAAAAAAGTTTTTAATGCGAATCGCTGGATTTTCAATCAAGTGAAGCACAGCTGCTGCTGCTGCTCTTGATACGACGACGGATCAGTTCTTGGAGTGCGGATGACTCGATGCCGCGATGCCTCGATGCCTCGATGCCTGATTGGCAGCCGGACAGAGACGGGGGTAAGGGAGGTAAGGGGGGCGGGTCAGACAGTTTGTGCTTGAGTCTGTTTGCAATTAGCGCAACATTGAAGCGCAGCCAAAAGCACTTGACAGCGAAACAACTTATTAAAACGAGACGCGAATCTCGAGTCGCGTTTGTCAATGTTGACCCTCCGCGACGACCAGAGCTGTCTGTCATTTAACATTTAACACCAATTGCAAATACAAATCGAGTGCTCGATCAATTCAATTCAATATGCATTCAACATAGAAACCGAAATGCATTCAACACATTTTGGCTCTCTGGTCACGTGGCTCTCCCAACTTGGCTCCCAACTAATCCCAGTCCGAGCTCATTCCCAGTCTGCATCTGCTGCATCTGATTCGTCGACTATTTAATGTGTATATCCGCATATCCGTTTAATTATTCACACACTACTCCACCCACTCCCCCACCCCCTCGCCCTCCCCCGCCCCCCTCATTGATTTGTGATAAGAAGTCGACACGATCTCCGCCAATTAGCCAGGTTTCTTATGCGCCTCGACAATGTCTCGCATTGATATTTCTATAATTTACATACTCGTTACTTTACAAGTTAATAGTTGTTTTTTTTTGGAATACTAAAAACAATACGTGTTTACCCGTTAATCAAGTCAGTTTAGCTAATATATTGGGTAATTTTCTAATAACTATTCGCAGAAATGTTCCGTGTATTTTTTGAGAGCTTGGAAAAAGACTATCAAGTTATAGTCCGCATATCTCGGGCAAATTTCTTTAGATTTTAGAGTGTCATACCTCTGATGACTCCTAAGGATTACATCTATCGATTGGCATTCAAAAATAGACTGTTCAAATTTTGACTTAGACTTAGAGTTTGGCAATTCATTCTGCTCCCTCTCACGAATTGGAATACAGCTCAGACTTTTTGCTCGACTTTCAAGTTTTCCCTATGCCAAAAGTTTCTCTAGATTTGACAAATTATATTGAGAGTTTGGGTTGGGGATGTAAATATAATAATTGGAATGTAAATTTAATAATTGAATAATACTGTGAAATTCCAGTCAATAAAGAACTCTGCTTGTAAAGCAACTTTATGCCTAAGAACTGCCGCAGTTGGCTCGCATATGACCTATTCTATATATTCTATAACTTGTCTCACTTAAGGATTTGCAGGATATCTGCATGTACCTAACCCACCTGACATTTTCGACATTAATATTCCTGAGCTATCGCGCTGAAAGAAATGTGTAATGTTTTAGGCTAGAGCATGAATCTTCTTCTGGCTGTTGCGCACCTTTGAGTCCGACTTTATGGCCTTATAAATATACAATTAATAATTTTGGATGGCAGTTTTGTTGCTGTTGCTATTGTTGTTGTTGTTGTTGTTGTTGAGCAGTACAATCACGTCCGGCGGGCGGGCAATGAACGCGCAAGTGCAAAATCCAATCGAAACATATCTGAAATTTTGGCTAAGCGTGGACTTTTGAATCACGCCGCGTGAATCCATGAAATATAAACAAAAGCACAAATGCCAACTGCACATGTGGCATAACTGAAGAGGGGGAGAGGAGGGGGGGGGGGGGTGCAACCACATGTGCCACATGCGTCGCGTTATTTGCATTTGTCAAACAAAAGCCGTAAATATGCTTTGCCTGGTAGTAAAAATGTTGTTGTCGCAAAATGCAAATATGAATTGCGATTGCTGCAATTGCTTTTTGCCCTCTCTCAATTTCCATTCGGGTTAGATGAACCTTTTAGCAGCACCCCCCCTCCGTCCCCCTCCCTTGTACCCCTTACCTGCAGGCTAAGCACACACCTGCCAAATTTCACATGACACCCAAAACAAAATATTTCGATTATTTGGTTTGCATTTGAAGCTGGCAGCAAAAAAAAAAGTCAGCACAATTCTCAGCTGAAAATTCAGGTGGAATTTCAGGTGTCACTGCGCCCGCCCTATTTGCCCATAACTTTCGTTTGTTTTGCTGTGTGTGTGTGTGTGTTGGATTTCCTGGTTCAATGCGTTCGCGTTTAATGTCGATTTTGTGAATTTTTGTTAGTACTCGTATATCTCATTTAATTGCCAGCCGGCTGCACTCGCAAATATCGCGCATACGCCGCGTATACTTACTCCAAGTGCTATCATCATTCTGTTCGTTTTCCCTACCTTTTTTTGGGCTCTTGTTTGTCTCTTGTCTGTTTTCTGTGGGGCTGGTGCTCTTGGCTCTGGGTCTTCGCCTGGCCCGCTGCTTATCGGAATGCTGAGCACGTTTCCGCCGCCGCAGCACGTATTAATGAGCAATGCCCCCCCCCCCCCCACAGCCACGCCCTCAATCCCCTTGACAATAATATGTATATTTATTTCGCTCAGTTGCGCTGTGTAGACAACAGTTATGGCATTTAATGGTTAAAACATGCAGCAGTCAGCGGGCATACCCTGCGCGCAAAGCGTGTGCAGGGTATGCACAGCTCGGACATCTGTTTGCCATTGAGTCTTACATTTAGCAGCTTTCTTGGGGTGTTCATATAAAGGGATTTAATAATTTCCAGGGTATCTCATAGTCTACACACTCAATATGCTGTAAAATTGTGTATTTACTAAAGTATTTTGGGGTATTCAAAGCTTTTGGGCATGCATTTCGTATAGCAATTGCAGGGTATCTACTAGTCTGATCACAGTTGCGATTACTTTTACTCCTAGCTCGCAGTAAAAGTTAAATATATTTAGTTTTTTTTGCTATTCTCACTTGGAACTAATTGATATTTTGCAGGGTAGCTGTCCGTCTAGCAGCGCTGTGACTTACTAAACTGGGCTGCGGTTACTTTAGTGTCTTCCCTGGAGGCGCTGTAAACAAACAAGAAAAACAAACAAACAATCAGAATCAAGTGCGACAGGCACTTAACTCTTAACTGGCTCCATTGTCCATTTGGAAGAGCGTTGCGTGGGCGAGCCACTGCGCCAAGGGTGTTCCCGCTTCCGCCTGTGCCACACCCACCTCGCAAGTATAGGCAAATACATGTTTATTGATCGCAAATACATATAACTAACTGCAGCCTCTCTTATTTTTCCTTTAGCTACTTGAAACTTGTGTGTTTGTATGTGTGAAAACCGCTTGATTAAATGCACGTTGATTGTCACTGGACGCCGGATCCGGATCCGCGGGAGCGTGCCGGATCGGGGATCAGTAACCGAAGAAGTTAAAGCCGCAGAGCAGCTTGTCGGGTCGCCGTATGCGCAGGATGCCGAACTGGAAGACGGACATATCGTCGGCCACATTCATGTCCAGCGCCATCAGCTTCTCGGCGGCCAGCGGATGCCAAGAGCCAAATGTGCAGGCGGAGTTCATCTGGAAATGGAATTTAATTTAGTTTATAATGAATCGAGCTAGGCTGCAACCTGGCCACCTCTTTGCTGTAGTAGTGACAGCGTCCGTTGAGTCGTGTGGAGGGCACATATTCCACAAAGTCCACCTGGGGACAGTGGGGCAACAACAAGGCCAGGCCTGTAAACATTCACAGAACTCGATTAAATATGGATGAATCAAGCAAAACAAGCAAGAAGTTAGGCAACAAGAAGTCGAAGCAAACCAATTAGGATTGTCCTGCAACTGTTGGATATATACCAATTGGAATCTCATTAATATTGATCACTTATCAAACTAGGAAAAAAAAATCAATTAATTAGATGGAGAATTTAAATGATTCGCCCTCTCATGAATTGTAAAAACAGTTTCAAAACAGGTCACAAAATGTCACGGTAAGCTTTCAATTGAATACTTTTTCGAAGCGTATAATATTCTATATTCATATATTTCATGTCACACTTTTTTCCGCTGTGCATAAAAATTCTATATTCATAAATTTCACTGCGTACTCTTACGCTCATCAATTAAAAAGTTGCATTGGAAAAAGACTCAAGAGTGCCCAATGTCGGGGACGTCAGAAATATACAGGATGCAAACTACATAATGCGACTGGGAAACCATCCAAATCGTCTGGCTCGGCCTTTTAAAGAGGCGTAGATGGAGGAGACCGAATGCGGAGGAGATTGCGGAGGTTTCACCCAATCGATCTCTCAGATCGGTGTAAAATCACCCTACCCTTGTACATTTTTATGTTAGACTTAAAAGTAGAATAAGTTGTATTGTAAATATTCACATAAGTTTAATTAAAGTTGTTCCCATAATAACAGAAAAATTGAAATAAAGCAAACAAAATGTAATAAAAATCCACGAGCTTAACGCGCCCTATCTGCTCGTTATCGGGCTTTATTTGGCCGAAATATAGCCATTTATAGCCGTTTGTAGCGGTTTTTAGCAGAATTTTAGTAGTACTGCATACTTTCGTGCTGTCTACATAATACGATTGAGCCTATTGGAGTAGTTGTTCTACTGCATACTTTTGGGCCGCTCATAAAAATAACCATTCACAATATACGCATCACACCAATATTTTATTTAGTGTTTTTTGGAAATATCTCGGCTAAATACAGTCCGATTTCGAAGTGGCATACCTCTTTCTACTCGTACGGATGCCGACTATCGATTGCCACCCAAAAATCCGCATTCCAAGACATGACCCAAAATCATCAAAAATACAGTGTAACCATCACGTTTTTTTCGAAAAATGACTTTTTTCTGAAATCAAAAAACGTTGATGCCATTCTATTCTATGGGCCTCCACGAGTTTAACGCGCCCAATCTGCCCGTTATCGGGCTTTATTTGGCCGAGATATAGCCATTTAAAGTTTCCCAAAAAGATTCGTGTGGTTGTGCACTTAGATATACGCATCACACCAATATTTTATTTAGTGTTTTTTGGAAATATCTCGGCTAAATACAGCCCGATTTCGAAGTGGCATACCTCTTTCTACTCGTACGGATGCCGACTATCGATTGCCACCCAAAAATCCGCATTCCAAGACATGACCCAAAATCATCAAAAATACAGTGTAACCATCACGTTTTTTTCGAAAAATGACATTTTTCTGAAATCATAAAACGTTGATGCCATTCTATTTTATGGGCCTCCACGAGTTCAACGCGCCCAATCTGGCCGTTATCGGGCTTTATTTGGCCGAGATATAGCCATTTAAAGTTTCCCAAAAAGATTCGTGTGGTTGTGCACTTAGATATACGCATCACACCAATATTTTATTTAGTGTTTTTTGGAAATATCTCGGCTAAATACAGCCCGATTTCGAAGTGGCATACCTCTTTCTACTCGTACGGATGCCGACTATCGATTGCCACCCAAAAATCCGCATTCCAAGACATGACCCAAAATCATCAAAAATACAGTGTAACCATCACGTTTTTTTCGAAAAATGACTTTTTTCTGAAATCAAAAAACGTTGATGCCATTCTATTCTATGGACCTCCACGAGTTTAACGCGCCCAATCTGCCCGATATCGGGCTTTATTTGGCCGAGATATGGCCATTTAAAGTTTCCCAAAAAGATTCGTGTGGTTGTGCACTTAGATATACGCATCACACCAATATTTTATTTAGTGTTTTTTGGAAATATCTCGGCTAAACACAGTCCGATTTCGAAGTGGCATACCTCTTTCTACTCGTACGGATGCCGACTATCGATTGCTACCCAAAAATCCGCATTCTAAGAGATTACCCAAAATCATCAAAAATACAGTGTAACCATCACGTTTTTTTCGAAAAATGACATTTTTCTGAAATCATAAAACGTTGATGCCATTCTATTTTATGGGCCTCCACGAGTTCAACGCGCCCAATCTGCCCGTTATCGGGCTTTATTTGGCCGAGATATGGCCATTTAAAATTTCCCAAATAGATTCGTGTGGTTGTGCACTTGGAAGTAAAGCAAACAAAGCATTGCATACTTTTGGTGGGCGCATAAAAATTACCATTCACAATATTCGCATCAGTCCAACATTTTATTTAGTGTTTTTTGGAAAGATCTCGGCTAAATACAGTCCGATTTCGAAGTGGTATACCTCTTTCTACTCGTACGGATGCCGACTATCGATTGCCACCTAAAAATCCGCATTCCAAGATTTGGAACTGTAGGTTCTCCAGGACTATATCAATGGTACTATAAAAGCAAGGATATAGCATAAAGCATAAGGCATATAGCATAAGGATAAAAGCAAGGGTAGACCATTTCCGAGCGAATGGATTTGGAACTGTAGGTTCAGTAGGACTATATCTACGGTATGGAATAACCAAGGATATTAAGGTCATCTAGGAACCCTCGGATATAATTGTTTGCTCGCTCGGGAATTCGTCAGCATTGGTATCGATGTGGTATTAAAGGGTATTTTGAGGACGAAAGTACCTCAAACAGCTGGGAAGAGGACTGTTTGAAGGAATATTTATATATATTTACTTCCGTTGCACACAAAAGTTTTCATGTGCTGTTTCTCAAGATCTGCACTCCAAGCTCTCACCTATAAAACCGGAACTGGGCGGATTACGGCGTATGGATCGATTGCCGGCAAACATTTGCAGGCTTTGCCACAGTCGCCATACCGAATGCGGATCGATGAGAAAGGCGCGTGATTTGGGATAGCGGCGCCTGTAGATCTCATAGTTGGTGAACAGATCGTAGTCGGCGGTAGTTAGCCAATCCTCGAGGGTGCCATTGTAACGTCCCGGATCCCAGGCGGCAATCGTAACGTTCCTAAAGATTGGCGCATGCGCAAAATCAAACTCCGGCTTGGTTACCACCTAAAACCAAATGATTGACGATGATTGAGGGCAAATTAAGCGCCGCTTAGCCACCTACTTGGGAATTGACAACACGTATTGTGGTTTTGCTGCCCACATCCACCTCGTGTCCTCGGGTCGGCGCGTGATTGAATCTCATGACGATGTCGTGGTTATCTGGCGAAACAAGTGGCATCAGTCCACGTTAGGATCACCAGCCGATCCACACTCACCTATAAAGCGTCCCAGCTTGGAGCCCGCCAGCGAACCGGCGCTGGAGACAATCGCACAGGTCTTGACGTTCTTCACATTGCGAAAGAGTTTCTGGCGCGGAAAGAGGCGACCGAAGGGCAGTTTGTTGAACGGCGCATCCTTGCGACGCAGGACGCGCACACCCGCCTCCATCACCAGGCAGCTAGAGGGATAATATTGCTCCTCGAAACTGTCCCCAAAGACCGGCTTATAGTCGACGTTGTAGTGATTGGATTCGTTGAGCGCCTCGCTCATCGAACGCTCGAAGGATTGGACAATGCGGCGCCGAAAGGAGGCGGTCTTGTTGTGGCACTCGGCCGCGTATTTGTCGTGGCACAGATACAGCTTCGGGCTGAGCGTCAGTTTGGTGTTCTTCGAAACCTTCAGGCGCGGATGCGGCGCCAGCTTGGATGAGTTAATGGCCGGACTTTCGCGACTCTCCACAATGAATTTCTCATTGGGATTCCAGCGCACATGGAAAACGCTGCGCGGCAGGCGATGCAGCGCGGCTGTCAATTGAAAATGTGCTTAAAAGTGTGGACAGCACTGTTGAGGAATTCCCCACGCGCAACCCGTCCACACTTGCATGCAATATCAATACCTACCATTGCGCGTCTCGACTGACGCTTTATTGACCACAGCAGCACGCGCTGCCTCAGCATTTGGTTCGTGCATTCGCTGAGCTTCGCCCGCCGCCGCCGTCGACGACGCTGTTGACGCTGCGTCGCCTTGAATTAATAATGCGCCCAGCAGCAGGACGCTGATTAACGTTGCCGCCGGCCGCGTTGCACGTTGTTTCACTTGCAACATTTTTAAAACATTTTATTTTTATTGTTATTTACGAGGAATTGCTTCTGGTCACGTTTTAAGTCCAATTTGCAGCTGCTTGGGAATTTAAGACCAACAGCCAACTGCGGACATTTTTTAATGGCTCTCAGCTTTATATTGCGGACCGATCAATTATTTATAAAACGTACGCGTTATTGATAAACATTTAGCTAACTTATTGAGCAATTGGTCCATTTACACTGAACTAAATAAATTAAATACAGATCTGGACAGATAAGGGTAAAATATGGAGGCGATTTAAAGTCTCAGTTTAAAGAAATGCCTAAATATTATATATAGAAAATTTAAGATTTAACTGGCAGTCAAATTTTTGGCAGAGCCTGAAAAGTTTATAACTTCTTTTGTGCAAGTCTTGAGTCTTGAGTAGGTTATCTGTGCAGCTGCTTTAATTATGATTATAATTCTCAAGTGGTTATAGCTTCAGACTCAGGATAAGGCCTTGCGAAGAGTGGATAGAAACAGACTGCTTATGATAGAAGCGTGAAGGTTTATGAAATAGTTAATACAAGTCACGAAAACAATTTTGTCGTTAAGAATATAAGCATTAGATATGGGATATACGCTCAATTATTATGTTCAATAGTTTTAGTATATATTCCATATTCAATACATATATTCTTTATATAAGTTATGTAAATACTGCACTTTTAAAAGACTTCTTTGCATGGGATCAGCTAAGATGTAATGGGGATTAGCTAACAATAGAAATATTCGAAATAATTGACTTAGCTGTTATATAAACACTGCCTTATCCATTACCAAAATACAACATTGGAACGTTTGACACCTGAAATTAACTCAAATAACAGAGTTCACAGAATGGGAATTGTTTAAGCACTCACGAATAAAAGTCTGATTAGAGCGAACAGCACTCATTCGCATTCACATGGCCAGTGTCAATATTAATTAGATTTTGTTCGTGGATTGAACGGACAGTTGAGAACATTTTGAAATTAAGTAAAAAACCGTGTTTCCACGTTTATTGGCGGGCGGCTGGGCGGGGCGGGACGGAGCGAATTGTTTTCACGCGGCATTTGGATTTGCTGCTGTTGGCCATAATTAACATGCACACTGGCTGACAGCTGGCTAAAACCGAGTCGTGTTATTTGTAATTAGTTTTTGCACATGGAATTTGTAGCTGCCCCTCACCACCATACCACCATACCACGCCCCCACCGCCCACTGCTGTGCGCCCAAAAGCGGGCAAAACAAACCGCAAATTTAACCGCAGCGCCTGCTGTAAAAACTTTGGGGCCCAGTTGACCGTCAGCTCGTTAACGTGCACGTTTATCCGTGTGGCCTATGCAAATATTTGGACAGTTTTACACACAATCCAACAACAACACACAACACCAAAACACACACGCACTCGAGGATGCGAGGCACGCAACTGTGGCAGGTGCCAGGTGGCAATTGGACGTCTTTGCCGGCAGCGTGTCCGTTGCACGAACTTTCCCTTTCGCGTGTCGAAACGTATCTGAATCTGCGGCACAGTTGCTGCCACAGCGCCACCTGCCACACAGCGGCCACTTCGGCAGCTGCTTCGGCAACCAGCTACCAGCGACCGAGCGGGTCGCCTCGACTCTGCTGCTGCCTTCTGGGTCGCCCTGCAACGCCTGTCTAATTACGGTCCGCTTGTTCTTTCTTGTTGTTGGCCCACTGAAATTGGCATTAAGGATATGCAAAAAAAAAAAGTAAAAGTTGTGATACGCAAACGAATCGCGTATTTTTGCGCTTTTGCGTGGCTGGCAATCGGGTCAGCGGGGCATGTGGCACAATGACGCCAGCTGAAATCAGAGCTTAATTACCGGATTAATCCTCTGGTTAAGAGCAGCAATAGAAGTCCATTAAGATTTTCCCGAGTGCTGAAAATAGACAAGTCAAAGGTGTTCAGTGAAGCTTTCAGCATTGAAAAGCTTATTAAAAATATCTTGAAAAGCTCTTTAACGGATAAAGCTTGCTCAAGCATTGAACTTAGCACTTAACTACAATTTAAGCTTAGTTCAAAGAAAGCTTTAATGAGCTTGCAAAGCTTCTATGAAATGTTAATCTGCTTAACTGTTGAAAAAATGACATTTCTAGCTTGTTGCAGCTTTATAAAAGCTCCTCAAAGCACACCAAAGCTTTAATGTGCTTGCAAAGCTCTCCAGCAGATGCTTTCGTATAGCTCGTGTGCTGCTGTCGCGTCCTGCTTGATGCCAAAGTCAAATAAAATCAAGCCAGAAACATTATTCTCATATATATATGTATATATATTATTTAGGTTTTTTTGTTTGTTTTGTTTTGGGTTTTTGGTTTTTTGAACAATAATTATTATTTGTAATCATTTATTATTCATCGTCATAATCATAATAATTTTCTATACAAATACATTCAATAACAACAATTTATTTTTATTATTTTCACTTGTTTTTCACGTTTACGTCATTGTTTAATTATTTTACAATTACCATAATTATGTTGTTTTTGTTTTTGTTTTTCATCTCATTTATATGCCATATTATTATTATTATTGTTATTATTATTAGTACATAGTATTACTATTACATTATTTCTCGATTTTAGATACGATTTCCATTTGGGTTTTCGTTATTTGTTTTTTTTAGACTTAAGTAAATCGCATCGACCGTGGCCAAGTGTGTTTTTTTTTAAGGGGGATTCTTTACGAAAAGTTTACTCTTAGGCTGTTCAGTTTTTGTTGTTTAATTCGGTTTATAGTTAAAGTTTCTGTTTTTATAATTTAAATTTGTTTTCGTTTGTTTTTGGTTTTATTCTCTATGTGGCTTTGTTGTTGTTAATTAACAAGTACAGAAGATTTCAGTTTGAGTTTTTAAAGTTTTTAGCTGTTTTCTTAATAATTTCTCATTTATTAATTAACTAACAAACTTGACGGTTTGTTGGCATCTTGAGAGTGTTGTTTTGTGTGAGCTTAGGGGGGTGGGGGCTTAAGGGGGTGGGGGGGGGGGGGGGGTGTGTGTTTGGCTAGAGGAGAGTGTGGTCTTCAGACACATTTGAAATACTTTTGTTAAGAGTATTTGAAATTTGACTTCAGGCATTCGCAATAAATTTGGTTTTGTGTTTTTTTAAATTTTAATTAAATTTGACATGAGTTTTTTGTTGTTGTTTTCTTTAATTATTTATAGTTTTTTGTTTTTGCTGTGCTCGCGCTTTGGTGAGATGATATCAAATGCGATGCATTTGAATAATTTCTCGCTTGGCACATAAATTATTATGTAAGTGTTTTTTTGTTGGCCTAAAAAGAATTTTGGTTTTTGCATTTCCCTCATGTTAAAATTTTCCTTCTCATACTCATTTGTATTTTTCTTTTGTTTTCATTTTACATACATTAAATAGTTTATATATATATTTTTTTGTGGATTTTTAGTTTTTGTAAAAAATAATTGCTACCTTGCCATAACATTTTTTTTTTTTTTTGTTTATCCTTTTTCTTTTCTTTTGTTTTGTTTTGTTCTGTTTCTTTCGTTTCTTTGCCTTCGCTCAGCTGCTTTTTGTTGTTGTTGTTTTTAGCAGCTGCTTCTCGTTTACAAAATTATTGTATATTCTTATCATGTTTGTTTTGTTTCATTTTGTTTTAAGTTTTTATTATTAATAATATTTTAGTTTTCGTGCTAATTATTTGTATTGATTTCGATTTTCGATTTTCGGGTTTTGGTTTGGGTTTCAAGTATTCGCATTCATTGAAATGACCTTTAACATTACGAGTATGAAATGTCCAAAAATGATGCAATGGCATTTGCTCAATTGTTTGTTTTTACTTTTTACTTTTTACTTTTTGTACACAAAACTTGAATGTAAATGTTGCTGTAAAGTAATTTCATGCTCGATCCGTATTCCGTATTCCAGATATTACATTCGCATTATCGTTAATAACATTATCATCGTATTACCAATTTCAACTAGTTAGATATTTCACTGCGGATCTCTCGCTGTGAGCCGCATTCAAAGTCGACAAAATTGCGACAATTTCGCCAGCGTTTCTCTCGCAAATCGCCTCTCGTTACTCGCTACTCGTTACTCGCTTCTCGTTTCTTGTTGTTTATTGTTTACATTTAAATAAATTAACATTTAATTTATTATTTAGGCATCTATTCATGTTAACTATATTATATATATCAAAAAGTTTTACAAAAGTACACAATAATTCATAACAATTTGCATATGCGCGCAATTTGTGCCAGCGGCTCTCGCTTTGAAATGTTTTCATTTTTGTTTTTTGTTTTTATTTTTTGTTTTTTTGTTGTTGTTGTCATTTTCATTTTATTCTTGCCCCCCCAAAACGTGTGCTTGTTGAATTTCAACCCATTTAATTGGAAATGCACACACGGAAAATCGAGTACGATTACAAATTGGGGCTCATATCTCAATTTTTCGGGCAAACAACAGAAATACCAAAGAACTCTCATAAATTATATTCAAGAACAGAGATATAGAAAATTGAAATTCATTGCATACTTTTCTTCAACAGTGTGTGAGATGTGTGTGTGTGAGAGAGATGTGTGTGTGTGTGAGAGAGAGATGTGTGTGTGTGTGTGTATTTACAAAGGCAGGTTTCCTTTCTTTAAAAGATGTATTGAGTAATTGATATGGAAATCAGAAGTGAAAGCTGTTTAGCTCAGGTGGGAACGAGAAGCTTAAGTTTCATAATGAAGAAATTTCGAAATTTAGTTAATTTATGACACAATGACACTAGCTGAAAGTGGGCACTTAAGTAGAATATGATAAATGAAGAAGTAAAGCTTTAGAGCTTTGAGCTTAAAGTGAGCTTTAAATGTGCTTTCAAATAAAAACTCTCTCTTTAAAGCAGAAATTGAAAGTGTTGAAAAAGTATCGGAAAAAAGCTGCTCTAACAGATTAATCTGTTACTTAATCTGTCAGCAATTGTTTTGTTTTTTTTTTATTTTTGGTAACTACGTTTTACAGTTTGTTATCTACAACAACACCTAACATACCACACTAAATGTGCTGTTCCACCTTTTGTTAATTAGTATTGTTTAAGAACAGAGACACTTTTGCTTTGATTAATTAAAGTAATGCGTCGGTTGTGCAAAGTTATTGAAGAAAGCTTTTGAAATTGGGTTCTCAGTACTGCCTGCAGTGCCGTAACCCTAAAGAAAACAAGAACCGAAAGCTGCAAAAAGTCAAGTAGTACCAAAAAGCGTAGTGCCGCACAATTTTGGAGTGTTTCGAGAACTTTGAAATGGTGAAAAGTGAGTGAGAGATTGGTGAGATTGTTAAGTGGGATGTTTTTAAGTTTTTTTTGGTTTTTTTTTGTTTTTTTGTTTTTCTTTGGTGAAGATAGTGTCTAAAAGTTGAGAGTCGAGTCGAGTCATGTTTTTGGTGGTACATGCTTAATTCAATAGGCAATTAGTTAATACCAAGTACAGCTATGTTTTGTTTCATTTAGTAACTAATTATTCTCATATAATACTTATAAGTATATCATAATGTTTTCTTCTTTCTTTACTTTTCTTTTCTTTTTTTTATTGTTTGCCTATAGGTTCAATTGTTTTTTGGTTTTTCCTTTGCAAGTATGTACGATAAATTGTTAATTATAAATATATATAATATATATATTTATGTTCTTTACGTTTATGTTTATGTACGCTACATAGAGTTAACTTTATTACAAAAATTATTATTATTATTATTATTTGTATGCACTATTTATATAGTAGGTATGTTGTTGTTGTTGTTGTTACTGCTGCTTCTTCTTCTTCTTCTTTGTCGTCGTATATATTCATTCCAATCTGTTATCTGTGTATACCTAGGCTATATTTTAGATGCCCTAAACTCGTTTATAATCGTATGCATATGCTGTTTCTTCTACGCTCCCCGCTTCTTTCTTCCCTTCTCGCTCTTCCTCCGCTTCTTCTCGCTTCGCTTGCTTCTCTCGCTTCTCCCGCTTCTATGTGGCTTATGAACCTTAAAGTTTAAGTTTACTGTGCGCTTTATATTGTTTTTGTTTTTTTTTTTTTGGTTTTCTTTTGGTTTTTCATTTGTTGGTTATACAAAGTTCATGTTTAAAAACTAAATAAAGACAATCTTAGACACATTTTTGGTTGTTTTTTTGTTCTTCTGCTGCCTCCGCAAGTTTCTCTCTAACATCCTTCAAATCGCTATATCATTGTTTCTCTTGACTATGTTATCATATTTGATTTGTTTAGTTTTTTTTTTTTGTTTTCATTTTTTTTAAACTAATTTATGCAATAAGTAAAGTTTTTCATGTTTCATAATTGTTTTTACTTTCTTTTTTGTTTGTTTTGAAATTGATTTGATAAGCGGTCTATATGTCAATTTAGTGAAAGGTGTGTGTGTGTGTGTGTTTGTGTCTTTCTGTGTGTGTGTCTATTTTTATGTGTGTGTGTTTTTGTGTTTATGTTTGTTCATCGGATTTGTTTTCAAGTTTTTATTAGGGAATTTTCTGCTAATTATTTATTTCATTTGTCTTGCAGCGAGTCGTTTTTTCTTTTATATGGAAATTTTTTTAGTCTAGTTGTAAATTTAATTTCGTGTTCGTGTGTTTTTTGTTGTTGTTGTTGTTGTTGTTGTTGTTGTTTTTTCGTTATACTTAGCTAACCTAAAATGTTCTCGTTTCTTTTTTTTTTATTATATTTTTGTTTATCCGCCTTTATTTACGTTTATAACTATGTATATTTATGTATCGCTTCTTTTTTCTTTTTTGGTTTTTGGTTTTTTCTCATATACTTTTGTTAAATGTTTTTTGTTTGTGATTTTTTGTGTTTTTTTTTTCTTTTCTTTGTTGTTGTTGTTGTTTATTTTCGTTTAATGTTTACCTAAAAAACCTATTTTTGTGGCAGTTGTTTTTTGTTTAATTAAATATTAATATTCTTTGTTTCTAGTTGTAATAAAATATGCTATTTGTTGTTTTTTTTTTTGTTTAGTTTTTTCAATAGAGATTTATAATTTATTTACTTTCATATTTGGTTTCATTTGTTATTTAATCATATTTTTTTTCTTTATATATTTCACTTGAAAGAGGACCATAAATATTTAAAGTGTTTTGTTTGCTTTTCCTTTTTGCTTTTCCATTTCAATACATTTTCCATGTCTCATTTAAATTTTCGTTACGTTTCCTTTTAACGGCTTTGGCTCCAAACAAATTGGCAGGGAAAACGATCTGCAATTTCTTTGTTATTTGTTTTTTTTTGTTAATTTATTTTTGTTTTTTACACTCAACTTTATTTGTTTTTGTTTTCGTTTTTAATTAGCTAGCATTACGAGTAATTTTCTAGAGTACGAAATACAATTAATGACATTTTCTTTTTTTTTTTGTGTACTGCAAATCTCTGTGAAAATCCGCAATTTGTGTGTGTTTCTCTGTGTATGTGTATGGGGGTGTGTGTTGGGGTGTGTGTGTGTGGCCGCATACTTATTGCATGCACTATAAGGCGCCATTTGAGTTGATGGTTGCCGCATTTCCGCCGAACCACTTCCATCTTCGCCACCAATCGTTTATGTTGTAGTTGTAGTAGTAGACATAACGGTAATTCCTATCATACCTATTCCTATCGCTGCACTTGATTCGTATTTGCAGCTGCCGCAAGTCTCTGTAGTTGATTATACGACTACGATCCCGCGACCTGACTCGACTCAACTCGCGCTTGCATTTTAATTTGCTTCTGCTGTTGCAGCGAAAGTAACGCACTTTTCTACACCCATTCAATGGCCACGCCCATAGCCATGACCATGCCCATGCCCACGCCCACGGCCAGGACCAGAACCATTGTTGCCTGTCGCTGGCAGCGAAGCGCGCACTTCCGTTTCCGCTGCCGTCGCGCCAGCGCCTGCTAATGCTGCTGCTGCTGGTGCTGCTGGCGCCGTGTTGCGCCTCCGGGCGGGGAGTCGCGGTGGCCAACAGCTCGTGACAGCTGGCCGGACACTGGTCGACGCGCGCCGTGCCGCGGGCCCGCCCGCATCGCTGTCGGGCCGCACCACAGCTGCTCAGCAGACCGAGCAGGGCGCTCAGCCAGACGAGCAGCTGCGTCGGCGGCGACGGCGCCACACCGGATGCATAATAGGGTATCGTACAGCGCGTGGTCACCGACGGCACCGCCGCGCAGCCGCCGGACAGCGGCCGCTCCGGCATATCGCTGCCCCCGTCATCGTCATAGTAGTACAGGCTGTCGTAGTGGGCATAGTAGGGCAAGCGCTCCAGCAGCTCTGCGCCCGGCTCCACCGCATACGAGACGTTCCGCAGCGCCAGCGAGACGCTGGCCGCACGCGCATGCTCCCCCGGCGGCGAGTTCAGCGTCAGGGTTATGTTGTGCACGCGGCGCCCGCTCGAGCTGTTGTTGTTCGTGCTGTTGCTGGGGTCGGGGGTGGGCGCAAAATCCTGGCAGACGGTGCAGATGCCCTCAGTGGGTCCGCTGCAGTAGCTGTAGCAGCAGTCGTTCGGCCCGTAGCTGGATTTCTTCAGCTGCTCGCCAGTCTCGGGTATGTTTTGATCTGCAATTCGTTATAGCAAATGGAGCGCATGAAAATCTAAGCTCCCATTCATCCACCCCTCGTTCTTAAGCTCTAATAATTACATTTACATTTACACATTAACTAAAGCAAACAAAAGAATTAGAAATAATTTGCAGAGATGAAATACAAAAGCTAAATTATAAATAATGTATAATAAATATTTAACAATTAAAAATAACTGAATAACTTATCAATAATAAATCCCATGTATACAAAGCTTAAATAAATTTTAAATAAAACAATAAAATCAAACAATTTAAATAAACTTCTGGAAGTAAAAATTATTCAAATACTCTAAAACACATTTTCACGAATTTAATAATTCTTATTGAACATTTTCAAAAGGATTTCTTAACTTTTAGCCACTTGAATTGCAAAGTAAACTTATAAAATAAACTAAAAAAATAAATAAATAAACTAAAAAAATAAATATAAAATGAACTAAAATAAAAATACTCTCTTAAAATAAATATGAAAAGTATATGCGCTTAGATAGAAAATCGTACTCAAAGAAAATCGTGAGTACTTAATAAATAATATTAATATTGAAATCAAGAAATTTCAAATAAATATTGTTTTTATGCTTTTTGGTTCTTTTATGGCAAAATAAAAAATGCAGCAATGAGAAAGTGTTTATAAATTAAAATCAACTTTCGATGTATAAATAACCAAAACCATATTTCTGAAATAAAGAGAAAAAAGGTATATATTCGGCAAGCCGAAGAGTTAATACACTTCTAGACATTTGTCTTACGGTTTTGCAGACAGTGATGCTTGAAAATGCTGATGAGAATATCCTGGAATCTACTTTTCGACCGATCGTTCCTATGAAAACTCTCATATGATGTAGAGGTCCAATGCTGATACATATAGAGAGAATAGTGGGCAACTTTGGTCGATATAATGTGCCAAACGTTCCTAGTCCAGCTCTATGATATAGAGGTCCGATCCGGCTCTTTCTGATATACATATGTACTGCCTGCATCAGGGAGACGGACACACTCACAAACACGGACTAGACAAAGTTACAATATGATAGTTTTAAAACTGAGAGACTAGTTTGCATACAAATAGACAGACGGACGGACTAAGAGAGGGACAGACGGATAGACGGACGGACAGACAGACAGACAGGCATGGTTTTATGAACTCGGCTGTTGATGCTAATCTAGCTTTTTGTGTTCGAAGACGTCTCCTTTTATCTGTTACACAATCCTTGACAAAATTATAATACCCTCTTTGGAAAGGCTATAAGTATATTGAAAATGATTTACCTAGGCATACAAATGTCGGCTCGCCGGCATATTGGGTGGGCAGCGCGGGGGCGCGGTCGGCGGGCAGCAGATAGGGGCACTTTTGTTCCACGGTTTGGCACACGCTCAGGCAGGGTCGAATGCGGCGGCGCTTACGGAACTCTGCCTTGCGTGTTGATCTGCGAACGTGGAAGGGAAATCGGTTAAAATTGCTGCTGCCAAGATTTGGAGGTTAAATATAAAATCAATTTTGTTAACCTCTTTTGTAGTTTTGATATCACTGGATCCGCTGCGCTGGGATCCGCATTATTGGCAGTCGATATGAAATTATTGAATTGTTCTTCTTCCTCTTTTTGGCGCTGAGCAAGGGCGGCTCGGCTGTTGCTGTTTTTGCTGTTGTTGTTGTGGAACTGGAACTGGAACTGGTACTGGAACTGGGTCTGGGCACGGGTCTGGGCATGGGCCTGGTGCTGGCCAATGCCAACGACATCGTAGAACGAACGAGCCGCATTCGCATTTGAGATTTTGTTTTGCGGCTCATCGCTGGGCTCATTGTCCTCGTCATGCTGTTGATTAATCTGACGCTCGTTCATGTTATTGCCGTTCTTTGATTTATTGTTATTGCTGATTAATTTCTGAGATTTATGTTTGATGCCGCCCGTGCCAGCAGCAGCATCCGAAGCAGCAGCAGTGGCAGCTCCTCCTCCTGCATTTCGCGCCGCACGTTTACTTTTGCCCGCTGCCTTTGCCTTTGCAGCTGCCACTCGCGTGGCAAGGTTATCGGCCGGCGCTGGCTTTGGCGTTGCATCCACGTCCTGTGGCTCGGCGAAGTACGGCACCAGCGTGCTGCAGACCCAGCGGCGATAAGCTTCCTGCAAATACATTAGCAGCATTACAAATAGGTTTCACTTATCTGCAACTGGCAAATATCATAAACTTTAATCTTAACATTACATAACATTTTATTTAAATCTTATTTAAATCTCTCTGGCTGTCAAGAGAGGGAGAGAGAGGGGTTGGGAAAGTGCTTACAGCTGTGCTTTGTGATAAGTTGACAAGATGCAAGCGAAAAACGGCTTTAAGCTTTATACTTTTAGCAGCTTTCGAAGCACATTAAAGCTTCAATAAAGCTTTGTACTAGGCAAAGCTCAAGGCTTGACAGTCAAAGAATTAATCGACACTTAAGCAAAAAGATTCTTAAAACTTTATTTGCCAAATGGCTTTTAAAGCACCTGAGAGCTATCACGTTGGCTTTTGTTTATCACATTAATATCGTACATAATTTTATTTATTTTTAAAGAACATTTATTTGCATAGATCATAAGCTCATTAAAATCACATATGAACCTCGAAAGGCGATTATTCCTAAAATCAATCTAATAAAATGCACATAAAGCTTAAAGCCCAAGTAAAGAACATTTTGCTCTGTTTTTAAGCTGTCTGCATTGTGGCTTAATAGAGCTGAAATTGGCTTTGCTCGCTAATAGCACAGAGTTTCTAATCGCATGAGTTATGCCAAAGCAATCGCATTCGATTTATGATTCGTTCGCCTGCCTGAGGGGCCGGCAGGCAGAGGGCAAAATTTTGCCTGCCATCGAACAACAACAATTAAATTTGTTGAGTGCGTCGCACATTGCGTATACGTGATTTATGTGTTTGTGTGTTGCACGCATTGTGGTTGTTTTTGATCGAATTGTGAATAGCAAGGGGAGGGCAAGGGAATGGGAGGGGAGGGAGGGAGGGAGGGAGGGTTGAATTGCAGCTTAAGTTAAATTCAATTATTGCTGTGTTTGCTGTTTGCAGAGCCGGATTTCAGTTTGTTTTCACGTCGAAATAATTGCCATAATTGATTTATACATTCAATGTGGCATTTGCTGTTATTCTGGCCTGCATCTTGCAACATTTTGTTGCACTTAACTGCACTTTGGCCAATCAACTGGCACCGCAAATATTTACTTTGTACGCCTTCTGCCAGTTGCAACTTCTTTTTCCCTGCCACTGACCCAAATAAAATGCAACTAAAGTCATGCCAGACTCCGAGCCAAGTGTCTCTGATATGCAAATAGAGGAGGTGGGACACGGGCACGGATACGGCAGGACACGGCAGGACACACAACATTTGATAGCCAGAGACGAGAACAAATGGAATTTAGGTGTCCAATGGAGCTGGGAGTCGGGAGCCAAAACGTGCGAAGTTTATTCCCCTGACATTTGCTTTCCTCACACCTCAGACTGTAACCAAAAGCACGTTAGAGTGCCCCAGTTTGAATGGGCATTGACTAGCAGATACCCTGTACTCAGCTGCCTATTGAGGTAAGCGAAAATTTTAACCCGAATAGCTTCTATGTTCATAGATCCTTATGATAGTTGTATATGATAAATAACCTTGTTTCTATAAACTAAACGAATGATATTTATCGGTTTTGGGGAATTACAGGAGTTATCGTTCGTTTTAAAAACTATTTTCAACAATACCCTGTATTTACAGGGTATACGGAGAGGAGCAAATTTTTAGAAATAACACAAAAATGCAGTAACAACAAAATTCTATGGAGAATACTCTTCTTTTTTTTTTTGCGCAACAACAAATTTGCTGACAAACCAAAGTGCAGCAAAGTGCATGCAACATCCGATAAGGGGAGTTATTTCGCAGGTAGTTGGCGGAGTTAAGGTATGTGTCCTAGTTTAAAATAAACGTGGCACTAGAATAAAACTGGGGAGTGCAACAAATTCCCTTGCATTTTCAAATAAAACATATAAGGATAAGTAAGAGTGTGACCGACTAGGGGATACCCTGAAGCCGCTTCTACCAGCACTTAATACTCTTTTAACCTATTTAATGGGTAATGAAGATATACTAAAAGAATGTCAAATTTGGTAACTCTAACTCTGAAAACATAAGGGATATGAAATAAATTTAAATTTATAAAATAGCATTTCGATATCGATTTTTATCGATTGCTTGGTAACGAGGCAAGTTAATAATGATCGGAAACAAAGACGTACTGCGCGGTACTAGGAGGACCTACTTTTAGAGTTTGAAGTCCCTAGCTCTTATAGGTTCTGAGATCAAAGCGCTCATCCATACGGACAGACGGAGGGAGGGATGGACAGACGGACAGAAGAATATGCCTAGATCGACTCGGCTATTGATGCTGTCGAAGAATATATCAACTTAATGAAGTCGAAGATGCTGCCTTCTGCCTGTTACATTCAATTGCACAAAACCAATCTACCCTCCCTTTTTAAAGGGTTTAGGGTATAAAAAACGTAGCCAGGAAAATCAACATATACGAAATTCTAAATAACAACTTCGGATATTTGACTTACATAGCATGTATCTTTATTTGTTGTCCAGGGTTTAGGCATGGAATATCAAAAATGATCTCAATGCCTTTAAGCTGCCTAGTTCTCCCAAAAACCTTTTATTGCTCTAAAAGAGAGTTTTTTAAAGTTTCGCAAAATCGAATTCAAAGCGCAAAGTTATTCAACAGCAACGTGGCCGCACTCCTAACCACACCTGTTCCCGCTTTGTTGCTTATAAAAATCAGTTGACTGACTTTTCTGGTCACACAAAATATGCGAAAAGCTGAAACAGCAAAAACAATGCGCAGTCAGAGACACCTAAATATATACATACCATATATATATATAAATATATGTATGTGGGCGTGGTCGTGCCTGTGAACTCAGCAGCAGCAGCAGCAGCAGCAGAAGCCGCAGCAGCAGCCGCAGCTTGTGGCAAGTGGCAGGGCGCAGCGAGGGAGGGGAGGGGAGGAGTTCGTTATCTGGGCATGACCATAAGAAGACAAGGCACCAAATTATTATTTAATTACAAAAAGTATTTATCACAGAGACAGAGACGCACGAGAGAGATAGAAAGAGAGAGAGAGAGAGAGGGGGGGGGGGGGGAAGCAGAGTAAAGTTGAGTACTCGAGTCTAAGTGCAACAACACGTCTGTTTTGGGGCACGTTTTCGAGGCGCAACTCAATTAGTTGCATGCCGAGCGCGACAAATGCAAGGCCTAATTAGTGGCTGTTCGCCAAGAGCCAAGGAAATCACAATGAAAGCAGACGAAAATCAGGTGAAGGACAGGTGTAATACAGGTGTAATTTAAGTAAAATGCAGTTGAAATAAAATTTCAAATTTATTTGCCAGTTTAATGGGCTGCCACAGCTGACAGAGGGCAACACATCTGGCGATTCATTCAGGCAGGGCTCAAGGCATTAAGCAGATAACCATAGTCCACACACACACACACACGCACACACACAGATGTATGTGTGTATATGCATATGTACTTGTGCCCCTCGGGCCCCTTTTCATTGGACCAAAATCCACTTAAGCTGCGCCTTCATTTAAATGCCAGGCGCAAAAGTCATTCACTCTGCAGACACCGCAGACACAACCCACAAACCCACCCACAACCCACCCAATCCCCCGCAATCCCGCACACCCCCCGCACTCCTTATCCGCAGCAGCCGCCCACAATCTGACAGGCCAGCAGCTCAACAACCGCTGCCTGCTGATGGTTGGGTCCTTTGCCCGCCTGTTGGCGCGGTTTCTGCGTATGCGTGAATTTCGTTTTCGTCCATTACTTTGACATGCACATGCAGTGGGGATGGAGGGGAGATAGGGGGGACAACCGTGACCGGGACGCCAAGCTATGCGGCATATTGATGCGCATCCGTTACTCATGCCACATACCAGCGCGAAAGCCCTAAACCCTTGCCCCTTAACCTTAACCCTTGGCCTGGCCGCGTTTGATTGGCAGAGTGTGGACTTACATGGATGGAGTATAGGGAGGAGGTGCGCGGGAGAGGGGGTACGAGAGGGTGCTGCGAGTTGCAATATTTGGTTAATGATGCGTGCGGCGACTCATACAAATGCAAATTTTACAGGCACGCGTCCCGCATTTTAAACAATTGTCCAATAAAAACAATTAATGCCCGAATATTTATGATGGATACGAATTATAGATTGATATAAAAAAAGAAAATGTGCATGTAGATTTACTTACTTAGGCTCTTCATCAATGTTGTCTACTTGAACTTACACTCAATCTAATCTAATCTAATCTAATCTTGTCTTTATATTTAAATATTTGTATTCAAAATATATCTGCAAGCTGGGCATCTTAATGGAAAGTTTTACTGCCCGTCTAAAAAGTACACAACGACCAGTTTTATCGTTTTAATGGGTTAAAGTTGAGCGTCAGGTCAGCGCGTTGGGCAGACTGTTGCAACTGTTGGCCGCAAGACCTTTGACCGGCCAGCCAAAAATTGAATTTCTTTTTATTTATTTTTACAAAAAATCACACACACACAGTTGTTCATAAAAGTTAATGGACGGCTAGCAGAATTGGCTTTATGTTTGACAAATCAAGCAGACATTGTGGCTGGCAAGATTTACGACTTCGAATACCGAATAACTATCATAATTTCATGTGTCATTGAACTGCGAAACGCAGATAAACAAAGCGAGTCTCGACTAAAAGTCAAAGTTTACGAACCATGCAATAAAAATATATAAATAATTTGTTGCTACCAATCAACACACCCCCCACCAGCCCGCCAATGACCCAGGGGGCCATTCACAGTAGATTTGGTTGTCTGTGCCACAAATGAGCTTAGAATACACTCCCCAAAAAAAACAAAGCATTGCCATGAACTTTAACATGCATGTTAAGCGTAATTGAGTGCTGTTAGCTTAAATGATTTTAATACAACTTCACAGTTAAACTTATTTTTGATAACATTTACTTTTCTTTCTAACAATTAAAAGTTCTCACGTATTTTAACTTTAAGCCATTTACCATTTAAGCCATTTTGCGCTAAAACTGTTTGCGAATTATAAGCAATTTACGTGGTAA